ATATGGGAGCCAAGATTACAACAAAATTTGGAGGAACTACAGAAGATGGAACTATTACATGTACTGTGTGGCGAGAACACAGACCATGAATGTAGTTTGTATGTACATTTCTAAAGATATGTGATAGATATGTGGTTGTTTCTGACAAAATCAAAGTGGACCAAAATGTGAACCTTGAGGAACACCACTGTTAAATAGACTGAATTTGAATGTTAGGGACGGTTAAGATGAATGCGTGAGTTGGCGTACTTGAGTGAATGTCAGCTGTTCAAGATCTTCCCATATACTGCATCGAAGGAAAAGTTGAGGATGGTTTTCCATGGTTTATTATCTGCTACATATTTCAAAATGGTAACTAAAGGGTGGTCCAGGGGGGAAGGTGGAGTGCCATGGAATGAGGTCTATCTCGGATTATGTAAAGATTTATCTTAGATTAGGCAAAAAAGAACCTGCCCTGGATTTAATATTGAAGATTAGCGGGGGGAGGCGAAGAGAAAAGTCAAGAAATGAGATTTGGAAAGAGGGAGAAATGTTAGGTCCTGTGTTTCCCAGATCTGTGCTTGTGGGATATCAGCGGCAGTTTGTCTTTTGAACTAATATTGTTAAAATGCCACTCTAACATACATCAGCTCTGACAGTGGTGTACCTTTGTGGCCCTGAGGAAAGGAATGGGTAATCTTTCTTTCTCTTTTTCGGGAAGACGAGGGTTCTGTTTGTAGGCCGCTGGTGATAGGCTTATAAACGAATACTCATGAAAGAATACCTTATGAGAAACCTGTATAGGCAAATGACAGCATTTCCTTTGAAAGGTTAACGGCTCCATTCTAACATCTGTTGTACATAAAACAGTATGGGCTCCTCAAGTATTTTGTACAATGGCTCATTTTGTGGAACTGTGGCAAACACTGGCTGTAGTAATGTTTTTTAAATTGCTGTAAAACTAGTTCGGAGTAGTTGTCATGCTTAAAAAGAAAGTGTTTCTGTTAAATAGCCCATTTTAAAAGCCATTTATACCATGTGTTGACGGCGTGTGGCGTGCTTCTCCTTCTCCAAACCAATCCACTTACCTCGAGGGCATGTTCACTCTTTTGTATGCTGTGATTTATACGTCTCGTAAACAGATGTGCATAAACAACGGGCTTTGCCCGCCTGCCCCCGCTTGGAACGACTTGACCCTTGTTAGACTTGACCCAGTTTGGAGATGATATTCCATTTCAGAGCTCCTCAACCTCTGTCTTGGACTCTCTCGCCCTTCTGCGGAGCTTGTCACTATGCGATGAATAGCTGATGTACTCTACCGCAGAGGAAAAAAAGCACTTATAAAGAGATCCACTGGCCTACTCATGATGTTTACCTGCTCAAATGGTCATGCTTTAGCGTGTTCACCTTTCTCCTTTTTCGTTTTTTTTTATGCTGTGGTTGTTATGAATACAGTTTTCAATAAATGAAGGGTCTGATTCAAAAAGATGGGATTGCTTATTGAAATTGCCAGTAATAATTAAACAATTCCAGTTTCAGTGTAATAATAACTGCATATATGTTTTGCAAGGGTTCACGGTTAAAATCTGGATTCATGAGAGGAAGAAAACCATTTATCATCTATTGGTCATCAAGATTGGAAAAACCTAGATTTGTTTATGCACCAACAAACTCTACTGTACACATGGCCTATGTTTAAATATGTGTACCATACAGTGAAGGGAAACACGTTTTTGTTATTTCAGGTACTTCCAGCACATATATCCTCTTCAAATTTACCCACTTTATGTCCTTTGACATTGTACTTATATGATTTGATGATTTGCACTTAATAACATTAATACTTTGTTGTAAAGCCACTGTTGGCAACTACAGCTTTGAGGAATCTACAGTAAGAAGTGATCAGCTTTTTGCAGCATTGCGGTTCAGTTTTGACCCATTCCTTTTGGCAAACCGTCTTCAGATCCCCAAGGTTATGGGTCCCTCTGATGTACTCACAGCTCTAAAATACATTAAAAACATACATTTGCAATAGGATTCAGGAGGTCAGGAGGTTGAAAAAGCCATGCAAGCAGCTTCACAGTCTTTTTTTAGAAACCAGCCTTGGCTGTATGTTTGGGGTCATTGTCTTGTTGAGACGTCCACAATCCCAGACTCAGTTTCTTGGCCGATGAGTTTAAACTCTCTTCTAAGGCCTTGTTCAGACTGCCAGTCCAAATCTGATTTTTTGGCATATACAGATTGTATCCAGATTGATTTTTGATAGTCTGGACAGCAAAAAAACGGATCCAGACCACATTTGGAGGTGGTTTGAAATGCAGTTCCAATCAGATTTTAACAGATGCATCTCAGTCTGGATGCTCTGGCCACTCAAACTGGATTTCTTTCGCATCACTTGCAACATGACAAACATCGACAATGTTAGATCCAGAGTGATGGAAGTGCTGTGATTCAAGAAGAGCGCCAAAGATTCATGCTTATGTTATTAACACAGCAACCCATGCAGATAGGCTGGTAATGTCTGGACACATAAATCTGATCTGATCACTTGCAAATAACAGTGTGGACAGTCGTTTCAAAAGATCTGATTTGAAAAACAGTCTGAACAGTGCCTAATATTTCCCGGTACTTCACTCTCTTCATGTTTCTTTGGCTGATATCTAATGCTCCAGAACCATTTGCTCAGAAACAGCCCCATGATGCTCCCACCTTCGCACTTCACTGTGGGGACGGTGCTCATGGGATCATCAACCCTTCTTTCTCCAGACATGATGAGCTGAATTATTGCCAGTGTTGTATCTGACCAGAGAAGGCCTACATTTTTCCAATAGTTCTGATTTATCCAAATGCTTTTCTGCAAATTTTACACGAATCTTTAGCAGAGAAGTATTGTGTGAGGTGTAGGAATGCATTTTATTGCTTATTGTTGTCCACATAACTGCTGCTTTATATTTAAACTTACAAAGTCAGAAGACATTATGTGTGTATAGCTGAAGTGGGTAAATGCTCTGGTAGTGTAGTGAATAACAAAAAGTGTCTGGAAATAATGTCAAACCGAGTGCTTTACAGAATCCATAGTGCAGTCTGGTTGGAATTCTTCTCCAGGCTTTCTCCACAAAGAGTCTACCATCAGTTTTTCTCTGAAACAAATGTATTTATGCAGCAATAACAAAATAACTTTATTAAAGTTAGCTCAGTTGGTCAGTATCCAAATACTTTTTGGGGCCACTGTATCTTAATTGAGACTTCAATGTATCCTTTGCCCTTGAGTGAAAGCCCCTTCTTATTTGTATGGGTACCATCAGTAACAGAATCAAGCCCAGCCTGTCAGGGATCTGTCATCACCTTCACATTAAGTAAAGCGCTTACTTGACTTTATTTGGACTTTTCCATCAATTCTGGTTAATATTTAATGCCTGAAACAGTAGATAGCCATTAATAATGCAACTTGGAGGCCATGTATAATGGATGCTCCAATGATAAGGTCTGGCTGCACTAAAACGGTTTTGCTCCACTGTCATGATTTCGTACTGAAAATCTCACTGATACCTCATACCTGAAAGGCATATATATGTAAGACAGGTTTAGGTTACAAGTAAAATTCTAATATTTTTTTACAGTTTACAAAAATACCACTTACAGTGAATCCCAACTGCAATATATTGATCTTGATAGGGGTTCAAAACTGGTTGAATGTAGAAGGTAAGTTAATGTTCCCAAGTCCATTCTTCAGTGACCCTTAGCCAGGCCCCATACTTGTTATTTTCTCATTGCAGCGTCCAATACACACGAGCCAGATAATCGGTATTTCTTCACAGCCTTGATTTCTTGGTCCGGGCGTGTTGGGTGAAATACAGCAGAAATGTTGCCGTAGGGTCTCGCCTGGCAACCGTCAGACTGTTTATAAATGGAACATGAATTCTTGTGAAATTTGTTGCTACCACAGGAAAAGGATACACAATAAACAACCAACCAAGCTTGTAAGCAATAAACGAAACACAGCACGAGGGGAGTGATAATAGAGTGGTGTACAAAAGTTCTTAAATCAGGCTAATAACTACGTTAACCACCAAAATATAGTAATGGACTCCAAATGCAATTAACCCTCCTATTATCTTAGGGATACATTTGAACCCATTCAGCATCTCTAAATGAAAAACATTTATTTTGCGCTTCATATTTAATGACTTTTCCCAATTTAATCAGGACATCTGTGCAAACATAAAATGAACATGGTATATTTTCAATGTCCTGTACACATTTTGTATGCATTGGTGTTCTTTGAGGTCAATTTGACTCCAGGCTGTTTTAGTCTGTATAAAACATAAATATCAACATTTCATACACAGTTTGTTTTGGTTATTTTGGACGATACTGAGGTCACTAGAACAATTTTATAATCTTCAAAAAAACTCTGCTTCAGGGTTCTAACCTAACAGAACCATACCTGTAGTAGTGCAAGAACCACTGATAATTCACACCACATGGGGGAGGGGAAAACATAATTCCCACCACAACTTTGATATTTCCCAGAGGTTTAAATCACTGGGGTCAAATTGACCCCAAGGAAAAAAGATGTTAGCATAATGAGGATACAAAACCTCTTGTTTGCACATAATTGAATAATCAGACACATCAGAACCGTGTTCACCTAGTTTTTAAAGTGAAAAATCTCACTTTAGAGACTAATTCAGCACCTCTGTGGGACGCAAGTAGGCATACTAACAACAGATGTAGCGATATTATGCAGATGTATGATAGATACGTGATTTACGTCTATTTTTTATGAAATCAGAATGGACCCAACTGTGATCCTTGAGGAACACCACTGTTTAATAAAGTGATTTTGGCACTTTCTCTCTTGCTTTTAGGCTGAATATGTTCCAACATGATGCTAATATAACAGGAACAATTTTATTTCTTTACTCTGTATATTTTATACTTATATAAATTTAATTATTAAATAAAAAAAGACCTACCATAGTTGCCACATCTGCAAGTCAAGAAAATGTGACGAGGCATTTTAAAATGAAAATAACATTTTATGAAATAGATGCACTTGTTAATACTATGTGCAATACATCAGCAATAATCAGCTATACAATATAAATAAATTGCATCTTCTGTTTGCAATTACACATAGCCGTATTTCTCAACAGGTTATTATGGTTTAGTGTGCTCGGAATACAACAATTAAAACATATTTACATACATACATACGATGAAAGGCATAAACATTTCCCATATTCGATAAGTGACGTTGATCAATTAGGGTGACTAGATCAACCATACACAACCACACACATATTAAAGTAGATAAATGTATCTTACTCTTCCTCATTGGATTAAGTACTACCTACAACACATCTGTTTGCATCATCGTATGAGTTATCTACAAATCAAGAGGCATTAGAAACACTAATATTCTACCGAAGCCACAAGGTTAAGGTGGACCTGCTCTGATTAGCAAAAACGTTCAAGTGCTCCACCGTTAAAAATAAACAGAAAAAAAAAAAAGGCTACAATAAAACACAATTTTAAGACAAACGTATCAAGTTGACTCGAAAGGTCTCATCAAGAGAAAACCTATTTGGTAGTCAGTGTGCATCAGACTGTTGCTTGAAGTTTAGTGAGCCAATGCTGTATCGGTACTAAAGCAAGGTGCAAACAGCTGAAAAACGCTGTTGCACACAGGGGTCAAGTTAAGGGAAGAAGCGTTTAATTGAATTTCCTACTTTAAAAAGAAAGAAAAAAAACATTATTATTCATAGCGTACGACTCCCCTTTGAAATGCCTTTAACTTCATTCAAACGTTGCACCAGCTCGCAGCCCGAGAGTGGCTGTCACGTCAATAGAACTGAGCAAGTCCCAAAGTGAGAAGAAGTGAGTCGGAGGGAGAATAAAGCAATGCCCTGAACCTGAGACTAAAAGGAGTTCCAAAGAGACAGAGGGAAATAAGATCATAGCATGAGATGAAAGTAAAAGCCAGTTGCCTTCTAAAGATTTCTGCAAGAGGGAACGAGGTGACGGCTGGTAAATAATTCAGGGAGTGGCTGATTCTCGAGCCAGATCTGAGGAGGAATGCTTCAGACCAATCAGGCGGGCCATGTATACCTTCAAGGACCACACACACACACACACACACACACACACACACACAGCCTCACTTTCCACTCGTCTGACAGAGCTTGTAATCAGCTCCTGTTTCTGAAAAAGGACTTGGACAAATTACAGTGAGATTGGATGACTGGGGGGAAAAACACAAGACTGGAATGAGCAAAGGGAGGAAAAGAACAGTTGGTACAACCTCTACCATTATGGGAGGATAGCAAGCAACATTTGTCGCGAGGCCGCCCGACATACGAATCAATATAGAGAAAGGTGTAAACAGCGACAAGGAATCTAGAGCAGTGGTCTCAACCCTGGTCCTGCAGTGTCTACTTCCAACCACACCAGCTCCGGCTAATTAACTTCCTAAATAGGCTGGATCAAATGCATTACTGTTAGGTAAGCGGAGGGGCGGCATGTTAAACAGAGGTTGGAACTAAACTCTGCAGGTAAGTAGCTCTCCAGGAGTTGGAGACCACTGGTCTAGAGGAGGCCTACCTGCATCAGAATTTTTTATTTTCCTCACTCTAATGAGCATAATTCAGTGTATTGGGGCATAATTATTGGCTAATTATAGGGCTCTGTTGTGTCAGATCATTAAAAAAACTAAATAATGCAGTGCTAGGGGGGGTTCAATATTGCAGTAGGCCTAGAATCATGCAACAGCTGGGTTACTCTCACAAATATGACTAATATTGGGACCCAACTCAAAAAAATGGAAATGGCTAAAACAATGTTGAATCATTTAAAAAAAATCAATTCAAATTGATTTTAGTAACGTTTTCTCATTATAATGACCGAATTCTCATTTCCGTTTGAAAATAAATCCCAACTTTTTTTTTAAATATGTGAACTGATGTCAAAGTATTTTTAAGCTAATTATTAAAATGCATACTTTTTTCAAACATATAGCATTTTGCAATTTTATCTCATCATCGCAACATACTGACAGCTTTCGTTTTTTTTTTTAACCACATATTATTCTGCTGTTTTGGTTCACATCTTTTAGTGTACAAGGAAAAGTAGAGCTTAACCAGTTAAAATACAGTAAGTAACACATTTTATGAATAAAAAAAAATTCAAAATAAATGATATATATCAGTAACAAGAAACAGATACGTGGGTGCATTGCAGTGATGAAAACTGGGGTAAAAAAAAAAATGCCAAAAAAACTTTAATATAGAAAAATGTATACTTCAGCTTGTTGCTGGACCATATACAGCTGCCACTCATCTGCTAAATTATGTAAGTATTTTTTGTCTGATGATTATGACACTCAAATATCTATAGATGTTTTGATGTGGTGAGAATGACCCAGCCATGCCTGAAATTTCACATTTCACAGCTGACCTCAGAAATGCATGCTGTGTTAAGGGTGGGTGATATAGCATAAAGATATCATGATACTTTCACGACAAACAATATGCATCACGATATTTAGTTTTGCAAACAAGTTTGAAAAGAAAAAGTGCAGGCAAAACAGCAGTACCATGTTTAAAAAGGCTACGGTGAAACTGACTACAATGATCATTTATTAAATGTTTGCAATAATAAACTAAAACATAATTAAATAAAATAAGATGGTGTCATAATGGGCTCACATCCAATCAGCTACTGTGCAGTTTATGCAGTTACTATACACTGAATGTTGTTGTTTACAGGCTCTATATACCTGCCTTAAACTGTCTTTTTATGATACACGCAGAAAAGCACACCAAGATGATTTAACATGATAGCCACGCTGCTCATTGAGACGCTGCTCTGAGGCCTCTCAAGTAAATCAACTGATTACTGACTCTTTTAATTGAAAACACTATGCCATTGCTTGTGGCTTTATGAATGGAGAGATGATTTTGACTAGAGGAAAAGGGGATAAAACAGACAAGAAATGCAGAATAAGTTCTAAAATAAAAACCAGGTGATGAATGAGTTTTTCCAAAAGCACCATTCAGCCTTTCTCCTACTCTCTCTGAGGTACTGCAGTGGTCGAGGTTCCCCTTTGTCACTAATCAGTCTCAAGTCTTTTTCGCAATGGTCCCTAACCTGCTCCTGGAGTCCTCCTGCCCTGTATACAGTCACTGTAACAAAACCTCATATCCCTGAAATGGAGATGGAGAGGAAAGACTTTAATACGTTATTATAACAAGATTTTACTCTTTCAAGTAATTTTGGACCCTTTCTATTGGTTCGTTCACCATGGAATGTTCATTCAACGTAAAGGCAGCTGGCAAGTGGTGTTCAGAGTTATGAGGTTTTGGCATGACAGTATAATATTTTGGTGTTTTTTTCTTACAAACTTGACCCAATCTGCTTATCTTGCAGAAGTTGAGCACTACGCTATTGCTTACATTTTTGTATACTATTTAAATGTAATTGCATAACTACATAATTACATAGTATGTTACGCAAATAATTACATTTAAAGTCACTTTACACTCTGGCTCACGCTTGTGCAACTGCGACTTTTTTCATTTGTTTTGACGTTGGGATAGCTTATCTTTCCATTAAACAAGACTATACACAATGACTTTCCATCAAATTCAAATCACAATCCAATATCTCCTCTTCTACTTGATGAAGTGAGGTGTACTTCTAGGCTCACCATTGGGAACCATAGTGGTTTTGGCTGCAGTGAATAAGGGACAACCACCACCAAAAGCCTGAGGTATTAATGAAGAGATCTTCAAAAGGCAACTGTGGACTTAAAAAATATACATATATATTCACACCTACACCCTTTTTTCACCCAGACAATTCTTACTGTACATTTGAAGACATCAAGACAGCTTAGCTTCACTGAGAGCTTTGAAACTGCTGGTGTGAGGTATGCCCAGGTTATGTGAGGTGTTCGCATGGCGACGTGAGGGATGGAAGGGATGAATCAGGACAAACAAATGTAGAAAAGTTAAGAAAAGCACTACCATTTTGCAAAGACAAAAGTAGAAGAAACAGAAAAAACTGAGGAAAGTAATGAGAAAGAGAGACCGGGGTACCATGTGAGGACGAGAGAAGACAGTTCAAGAAATTAGTCCCACTGAATCTCAGCTAAGGGGACATAATTTGCTCTCAATAGGGAAAAGCACTTACCCACAGCAGATTGAATTACCGGTGCGAATTGGGGACACATTAACAGAAGCTTGGGGAAGATGTATGTTGAAGGTCATAATAATTAAATACATTTCCGGGCACTGATTTCTTTTCTTTTCTTTTATGGAAAAGCAATTAACAGCCAGCAGACATGGGCCACATTTCGTTTATTAGTCTTTTAATACGATAACTGCTTCTTTTAATTTTCCTCGATTACGGTAATATGAAAGGGAACTTCCTGGATGGCTAACCAAGAAAGAAAAAGAAGTAACAAAATAATGAGAAATTACAAATGCTGGTGCAGCTGGTGTTGTTTTTTTTTTTTGTTTGTTTTTCATTTTGTCCTGATATCTGTTATTACATGCATCTTTCTGACATACAGTGTCAATTAACTCAAGTAGCAGAAGATATGGAACCAGCCGGGTACAACTGTGTGTGGATGAGGAACGGCGTAAAAAGGAGAAAAAGATGGAGATTTCCCAAAATGCACCGGGGAAAAAGTTGATCCATCCCTTGATCCTTCCATCAATTCTTCCATCCGTTCTTTTTGCCTGTCTCAGTCTGTGTTTATGATGTGTTGTGGCTATGTGGCTCAGTATGAGCTGACCGCTTCACTGTCCTGGTAGAGATCCTGAGGGCCCTCTGAGTGTGTGTGCGTGTGTGTTTGTGTTTGCTTCAATCGCGTTTTCGGCTCATTTAAAAAAAAAAAAAAAAATAGAATCCAATGGTGATCAGAATATGATCTATACTCCTCTACCCGTGCCCCCACCCCCAATACTCCATAATATCCATCTAATCTGGATACATTCCCTTCCTCCTACCCCAAACCCACCCCATCATACCCCACCATAATCATAAAAAAGGTAAAAACAAGGTCTACTGCGGAATGGCTTTACTCCTCACAGTCAGTAGGGGGCGCCAGAGCCCCTGGGAACTACTGAGGTGCGGTTGGCGTTCTTGCGGCTGGTCCGTTGAGTCTGGGTGGTCTTGGCGGCCGGGGGGCTCCGAGCGTCGGACAGGGCCCTTCCCTTGGGGCCCCTGTTCCTCCCCCTTGGCCCTGCTCGGCCCCTCCCGGCCACTAGGGGTCACTTCTTACGTGAGTGGAGAGTGTCCTGAAACTTGGTGCTGGTGTAGCGAACGTGGAATCCCTTCTTGTTGATGGTGTCGTCTGAACGGAACTTGATGACGATGGAGTCGCCGGCCGAGTAGATCTCCTCAGGGGGCTGTGAGCACACAAACAGAGAGCGAAAGATCCAGAGATGTTGGATTAGCTCTGAACTGAAGTCAATACAAACATGTCGATTAACAGTCCAGAGGGGTATTTCGCTAACAGGACCACTTCTGGCAATAAGCAGCATAAACAGTTGCTTAGGGCTTGCATGTCCATTCACCCTATTGCTGGGCAGAAAGCTGCTCCTGCAGGCCCCACTCACCCTACTGATGAGATTGGTGCCTGCACTGACTCTGTCTAGAACTACTCAAGCATAGACACTGCTTATGCGCCTCAAACGATACTGAGTACCTCACATATTCGTACTAATGTGTCGTCATGATAACACTGCAAAAAAGGGTACAAGTGAAATGATCTTAAATCTAGTCGATATATCCAATATCTCCCCGTTTTGAGATAGTTTTGCACTTATTACAAGATCATCTACCTTATTTTTAGACATTATTTATGTGTTTTAGGTATTTTACCAAGTAAAATCATCTCACTGTATTAGCAGATAATTTAGCTGGATTCAAGCACATTTCTTAAAAACAAGCAAAATTATCTGCCAGTACAGTGAGATAACTGTACTTAAAACAAGTGAGCTGTGTCAACAAATAAGGTAAACAATCTTAAATTAAGCTTAGTTTCAACAGAATTTGTCGAGTATATTTAAAATCATTTTACTTGACAAGATGCCATTGCTTGCAGTGAAGCTTCTGACAGTAGTCGTTGGTTTTCATGAAGTTAACTCTAATATGCTTCTAACAGTGATCATCAGTCAGTTATTATTGATTAAGTTTAAATCTGTCATTGTTTACTATTGATTAATCTAAGTCTTCTGTCATTTATACGTTGGTTAACCTGAATATTTCTGTTGTTGGTTATTTATGGTTAATCTAAATACTTCTGTCCAATGACGGGCCAATTTTTGTCTTTTTTGTTCCTCTTGCACTGAGGGAGTTTTTTTCTTGCCACTGTTGCCCTTGGCTCGATCATTTGGGCCTTGGACCCGGGTTTCTGTAAAGCTGCTTTGTTACAATGCCCACTGTTAAATGTTCTATACAAATAAATTAGAATGAAATGGAATAGGCTTAACTGTGCAGTTTTTTTCTCTCTTTTTTTTTTTTTGAAAAAGCACAGACATTTTCATATATTTTTTTCAATCCCAACTGAATGAAGTATGAAGTATTAACCCTTTTTCTTTATTGCCCATGGAATACTACATGGGACATATTACTCAGGGCCTCCAGATGTACAGAAATGTCCTTGTTCACACAGTAGGACATCTCCGCAAAGTGGACAACTTAAGCCCAAAGTGAGGACTGTCTAACAGAAACACTCCTAACAGTCCTGACTTTTAAGCTATCTGGCTACCTGAGAAATCCTGTGTGAAATATCCCCCAGATTAAGGCAGATGTCGATTTGAGACAAGGGCTGTTAGTTCAGCTGAAACCAAATTCAACAACCAAATGAAACTCTTAATGAGATCAAAACACACCAAACAGACATGAAAGCTTTTACCAGAACACACTAAGAAGATTAATAGTCCTTCATCTCTAATGAATCTCTGCTCTTCCCACTCCATCTTCGCACTCCTCATTAGCCAGACAACTCCTTCTTTATGAAGGAGATTTTCCTAATGGCTGAACAGCCCCAACAGTCCAACACATACTTTGGTCACCCTGACAGATCCCGTCGAACAAAAACCCAGTCATCAGCCGAGAGGAAGCCTTTATTATTGAGCCCGGCTAAATGGAATCAAGCTGTTCGGCAACCTATTGAGCTCGCTCTCTCATTTCCCCTCTCCCCCTGAGCCCTTATTGCTCCTAGCCTAGCGTAGCGCCACCTCTACGCTTATTAACTCTACTCGACGGCTCCAGAGACAGGAAGCAGAAAGCCTCCGATTGCCTTGCCATTCTTTATCCGGCTCTATGGGCCGGCGGACACAACACAATAAGGCCGGGCAGCCCTCAGGAACAGGACAAGCTTAACTGAGGCTTTACGGAGGGAGTATAAGCAAGAGATTTCGGGTTCAACTGATGTTCTTCCTGCCTGAAGGGAATTAACTTGCATCGCAAGAGCACCTTAGCGTAACAGGCTCAACGTTTGATGTAGCGTTTGACAGGCAATGACTTTTCAGAACAAGTGATAATGTTAGCTGGCATTTCAGGTGTGAACAAGATATTGTTGGTGTTGTTTAAAAAAAACAAAGCAAAACAAAAACGTGGTAACTTTACAAACGATGGAAAAATATTCATAACTTAAAGGGGCGTTCTGGTACAAAACTAGCAATTAATATGTTATTAATATGTATATGTAATATTCTGTAGTGTAATATTATATGCCTCAGTCTCAACAGTTTGAAACAATTCTCCTGTTTGTGTTATCACCCATCAGTTTTCTCTCACTACAATACCCAGCATGCATTCTGCAAATAAAAAGTAAATAATAAGTAAAACCACTGATATACCACTGATAGCAATAAATGCAGACATGACTTTGGCTTCCTTCTGCATTAGGCCTGATTAACACATACAGCGCTTTCAAACAGGCTGTGTGTGAAACGGCAGAGTCCCAGGCGCCGCACTGAAGCAGCACGGTATTTAGAGAACAGACACGGTGCCGTTTTTTTCCCACGTCACAGCAAAATACACTGAAATAACCCATGAAAATCAGTGAAAGTTAAAAAGAAAACGTATGCAAACTTAAAAATGCTAGTTTTTTTAAAATTGAATTTAATTCATTATGAAATGCTAAACATTCTGTGCTGCAGACAGATTTCCCGGTTGGTCTACCACGCTTGAAACTTTTGCCTAATCACAAGTCAGAATGCTGTCGAGGACAAACAAGCATACCATGTACTTTCATAAATTATATTTTTATTGAACAGAGTGACTGATGTGACCATTCATCTGTCTGGAAACAGGAACGTCTGTATAACATTCTGGCTGCTCCGCTTACCAGCACAAATGCTGTGTGTATGAAAGGCCAGCTGTAGCACTCCCGCTGCTGCGTCGCTCACGCCACACAGAAGCAGTAGGTGTGAATAAGGCCTTAGCTAGCTCGCAGAAAAACTAAAACTCCCTCCCTCCCACCTTCAAGAAGAGGGTTTTCCTAGCCTTAAAACCAGAAAAACTCACTCTTAACCCTCTTGATGCACCAACACCCAACAAAAGAGGCTAAGAGGCATGTTTACTGATGTAGCAACAGTTTGAAACAGTTTTCATTTTGATCTGTTAACTTCAAAATTGTAAGCAGCATATTGTTCCTGTCCCAAATACAAAATGCCATAAAAACTTTAAATGGTTTGCTGGCTAAATTTCTGTTGGCAGATTTGTTACAACCCATGAGGATAAGCGGCTTAGATGATGAGTGTGAAAGAGCAAGAGAGATCTGTTACAAAATGATCCTACCCGTAAGTCTGCTGATATTCTCAAATGCTTTAAATAATTAAAAACCATGTAAGATGAATAATAAGATGGCACCAATAAAATAATAAGATTAACCCTCACATCTATGATTATAAAAGTATAAGATTTTTTAAATAGAAACATTCTCACTTCTCATTTGAAAGTACAGCAAGATGCTAAATCTAGAACTGCTGCCTGACTATCCCACTGTAAACCCATTTTAGAGCCTTTACCCCTGATCCACAGTAGCGGCCCAGTCTTGGGGACTTGGTGTCAGCTCCGTCGAACAGCTCCATGTAGTCGTAGCCACAGTCTGCTTCCTCCTCGATCTCGAATGTCTGGAAGATGAGCTCAACACCATAGCCTTTCTCAGCTGAGATCACCCACTGACAGTCCGATGCCCCAGGGTAGTTGTTGTCTCCGAACTGAGCATGCGAGTAGAGGTCTTTGGTCTTCACCTCTGCCTTTAGCCTTCCTCCGCATTCTGGAGACACAGAGAGGGAAAACAATAGATGTTCAGAATAATCCAACAAGACAATTATGTTTGCAGCGGGTCACTGAAGGCTGAAGTGCCCAAATGGATAATTGTTAAGATGTTAATGGTTCAGCAATGCTTAATAAACAATGTTCAGTCAACTGATATATAGACTTACTTAGCTTCTAAATGTTCATTAGAAACAAACTGTGGCTAGATATTTTTCTGAGGTGGACTGCTTCCAACCTAGCAGTGACATCAGCAACACTGCTGTGCTTGATATCCTAATACCAGCGCCACAGTGGCGTAGCCGGAATTTCATTTTAGGGAGTTGAACACTACCAATCAGCTTACTTCAGAGTAGCTACCATAAAGACAGTTTCGCACAGGTCATATTTTTTATTTCATTTTTCTTTCCAGTATGTTATATATTCAGAAAAGAAAAAGTAAAACATGATTTGACCAAAGGGGCCCAGACATTTGCATAAGTTCCCACAGGCAGGAAAAACAACTGAGCAGAGTTATGCTGCATGTCAAGCCATGTACATGTTGCTGCAGAGAATTTGTGATGACCAAAGGAGAGTCCTGGCGGTCACTTTACTTTGTTTATGGTGGAAAACGACACAAGCATACAAGACCTTGGCGCCTTTGGGTTCATCCTATTTTATAAGAGTACAAGACAAGTTATGTTTTGTAACATTTTAATGGCCGTCAGCACTCAGAAATCTGAGATGGCCTGGCTTCTATATGAGGATGCCTAGGCCCCCCCAAGCCGCCCTGTAGCAATCGCCCTGTCACACACACTACCATGTTGGTGTCACTACTGGTCTGAGAATGATCCATGACCCAAATAATATCTGGTCAGCAGCGGTCCTGTGGTCAGAAACCGACCAATGACGTGTAGGGTAGAGGGTAGCTAACAGAATGTGCATGACAACAGATGGGCTACAAACCAGTGGATAGTTTTACATTCATCCCTTCAGCATTTAGCTTAGGATAATCCTTGAGATGTTTTAAGCAAGCAGCTTCAAACCTACATAGTGGACCTATGTGTTTGTCAAGGATGCAGAACTGGGATTTCTTTCATAAGTGGACAAAGAAACCCAGTCACAATAATTAACTCTAGCTAAAACATACTATCCTACCTGCAGTATGAGAGGCCTCAAATCCCTTCTTCTGCACGGAGTTGTCAGAGAAGAAGCGAATGAACATCTTGTTGCCGCTGGACGTGACCGGAGGAGGCTTCTTGGACCCGCAGTAGCGTCCCAGGCTGGGAGCTTTCCCGTCCCGTCCGTCATAGATCTCAATGTGGTCGTAGGCACACTCTAAATGAGGCTCCATGTCGATTTCATTGAAAGCCTGCAAGCGACAGTTTTGGTAGATGCACATAGTGAAATAATTCGTCACCTGCATCAGGCTGTTATATTGCTTGCATATTGCATATGTTAGGACTGGTACTCTGCTGAACCTACAGCCCTAAAGAGGAAATAGATCCTGGTAGCCCTGATCTGCACATTTTAATGCTTTCTTGCTCTGTCTCTGCCCTGTTTAACTCAGGGAAGGGCTTGTTAATCAGCTCATTAGTTGGATCAGGTGAGGTAGAGCTGTAGGAGGTGCTGTAGGAGTACACTGTGGCTGGGGACTGATGGCTTACCCAATCAAGAAGAACATATAAAGCATTCTGGTGGCATTTAGGGCTGCACACAAAACGACAAAATGTCTTGTGCTGTACTGTGAATGAGCAATCATAGATGTGAGGGTTCTGTTTGTGTTTTGATCAATCAAGGCATTTTTACACCCTCTTATCAGGTTCATTGCTTGGTAATGATGACCTTGTACACTGTCAGTTGTTTGTAGTTAGTTAATTACATATTCTCTTCTATATGTTCTGTATAGAAGTATAGAAGTGTCTGCTGAATAATATAAAACATCTACTTAAAGTATTGTAAAACATCAAAGAAACTACTTAAATAATCATTTTGATTACTGGTTTCAATTACGATTAGTATCGGTTACTATAAGGTATCGGTAACACTTTATTTGGAGTGGTCCTTTGTAGATGATTAATAAACTCTTAACAGAGTATCAGTAACACATCAACAAAATATATCAGTGGAGTAGCAGTAGTGAAGCGTCTGAATACACTGAAGTAAATATCTTGTAGATGTTCTGTTGATACATTACTTACATTAAGTGGATGTGTTGTTAATATGTTACTTCCTTTACACAAAATCTAACCTTACCCAACCTTCCCTAAAACCTAACCCTTACCCTGGCCCTAATCCTAACCCTAACCTTAACCCCAACTCAAAACCTAACCTTACCCAACCCTAACCCAAAACCTAATCCTAACCCTCATATGTTTTTGACATATTACTGAGAGTCTGTTGAGTGTTTGTTTCATCTAAAAGGACCTCTCAAAATAAAGTGTCACCAAGGTATCAATTATCGGCTATCATATGAAAAATTCCATATTGGTGAATCTCTACGTATTATGCTGTGATTTATCACGATTATGATAAATATCATCATATCGGCAACCCCTAGACAAAAATAAGGCCAGCTAGTTGTTATCAAGAATTCTACAATATAACATACTGCCCAGGCATACTTCAATCAGAAAATGGTATTCTACAGTGGAATGCTACACAAAAGACTAGCAGGGGCTAGCTGGAACGTACAATTTTGATGCGATGTCCCGGAGTGGTGGAGAGGGCCCAGGTGCAGGCCTTCTTACTGGGGTATTTATCAGGCCAGTTGGGGCTGGTAATGGTCCCACTCACACTGTTCACCGTGTGATCACAGCCGGCTGTGGAGCACATAAGCAACGTCAACAAAGCACCAAAAACCCAGTCCTTCATTCTTTCTTTCTATTTATTTTCCTTTTTTGTTTTTTTGCTCCCTCCATCTCTCTGCTGTTTGCTGAAAGCCAGTGTTGTTCTTGGCATCCTGAGCCAACCACTTGCCTACCCGCTCAGTCTCTGTTCTTTCTCTCTCTCTCTCTCTCTCTCTTTCTGCCTCCCTCCCCTTTCTGCCCCTCCACAATAGGGATGGATTCTCTATAAATATCCTCCTGGCAATTAGTGTCAGCGAGCTGAAATCGATGGGGAGGGTTTTAAATAACCCTCAGCGCACCACTCTTATCTTCCTAGAGAGCAACAGTGTACATAGTGCTTCTTTACCAAACAAATATATGCTACAGGTTTATCTAAAGCAGGAGAGACAAAGACAAGTCAATTTCTCAAAAGTGAGAGGAAAAATCTCCTTAAATAGACTGTTCAGCAGAGGAAGGGTAACGTGGATGATCCCTGTACAATGCTAGAGGGTATGCATGTGTGTGTGTACCTTCTTTGCAGTCATGTTTATTCTCATGTAGCACAAAGCCGCTTCTGCACTGGCAGCTGTAGCTGCCGAAAGTGTTCACGCACTCATGCTGGCAGCCGCCGTTCTCCTTCGAGCACTCGTCCTTATCTGTGAGGAGACAGGCGAGAACCTCAGTGACCACGCTCACAAACATGTGCAAAAAAATATATATACATATATTTCTTAGGCAGCAAAGAAACAGTGTAACATTACAATATCTTAAGGCTATCAAATGACTAAATTAATCATGATTAATTAGTTTGTGTGGTTAAACTCAAAAGATTTGCATTTTGTTATAGCTGTGTGACAAAATGTGAACAAAATAAGCTTCAACGGAATGTATTACATTCAACACATCAATAACAATGAACATTTCATTGTGTGAACACAGAGTACACATGAACCTGAATATGGAAATCAGATTTCCAGTGTTAACAGTTTCCAATTTTCATCACTGATGTCCAGAGAGAGCAACAGTGGCTGCATGTTCCAACCAGTGACTGTATATATCAGTTATTCCAACTCCTCTGTAATTATAGCCTCTCACTCCTGAAGGCGTCCCCTAGTGCTAACATTACTGATATTGCCGGAATCAGTGCTTTGCTTTGCTTACTCACGACTCTACCTCCTACGCTCTCAGAAAAAAGGTATGAAACTCTCACTGGGGCGGTGCCCCTCTTGTCACTAAGGTGTTACCCTCAAGTGTACATCTCAGTACCTTTAGTCAGGGGACATAACTGTACCATAATCTACTGAAATTATTAAGTTGTACTGACTCCACACACCCCATCTCGTCTCCAGACTTTTTATTTTATCGTTCCGTTTTAAAATATTAGGTTATGAAAAGGTACAAATATGTTCTTTTCCACTGGTAAAACCTTATTTAAGGTATACAATTGGACCTTAAAACCACTTTTGCACACTTGAGGGTACATTTACATTGTTTGTACCCTGATGAATGAAAAATGTACCTGCACAGTACCTTTATTTCTAATGGATGGTTAGAAGGGTCAAACTAGGAAAATACATTAATGGCATTAAAAAACAGTGGTGTTAAAAATTTCTCACGTTATCATGTTATTAACCAGTGGGAATAAATACAATTGAACATAGATATCGTAAACAGTAACAGGAATGTTTTGTTTTTAAAAAGTTATTAATAGGTTATTAATAGAATAGAATAGAATAGAAGGACACGGGTTTGGTTCCTGACTGCTTGCAACTTGTTTCCCGTTTTGCTTTGTGAAGTTTGTTTCCCGTCAGACTGATCAAAACCAGTAAACACAGCTGCTTAAAAAGCCAATAAGAATGGAACTAAATGAAAAACTCGTAAGTTGTGGCCAGTTTAGCGAGCAGTAGATATCAGGGAGTCCATGTACATGTGAGTGGAGCCCCTAAGGCTGAGACTGTCAGCTAACAAGCCCATCGATTGAATCATGTTGGTGAGCGGGAAGATCCCTGCACAGGGCCTGGGTTCTTCACAACCAGGTCTTAGAACCAAGGGTCTAACTCATTCTTAACAAATTAACCACTGTACCTGAAAAGAACTGGGCCTTGAAGCCCTTCTTGGAGACAGTGTTGTCTGATTTGAACTCGATGCGCATGTTATTGTATTGAGAGGTAATGGCTTCTGGCTTCTCAGCACCACAGAACTTCCCATGTAGCCTGGAGTCCGCAGAGAGTCCACTCCTGACCTCCACAAAGTCATATTTACATACCTACGCAGGGGACAGAACAGGAAGGGTCAGACAGTTTTATATGAATGTGCTGTCTAAAGAAGTTAAAACTGGATTTACTTGCTCATTTGAGTACGCTTGTGCCACATGCAGTGAGTGAGAACACTGACTTAAAGGGAGAGTTAAAGAACTAGTCCAGCAAAAAATCAAATTTACAGTTTTCCCCATAACACTATATGTAGATGATTAGCCAAGACATATTTGGTGTCTAAAGCCTAAATCAACACGTGCATCAAACCACGTGGAGCAGACTTGGTAATGCAGTTTGTAGCCCCACATGACATAACATTATCTATGAATATGGACCTAAGTATGGCTAAAAACAGTAAACAGTAGCACTCTTGATTTTTTTATCTGCATTTGTAGAAAGGGGAAAACTTTACCAGACTACTCCTTTAATGCCATTTTTCCAAACTTCTTTCCAGTGTGCTCCCACAGTGAAAGACTTCTGGTTGTGACTAAGTAATGTTTGAGACTGTGCCCCTTGTATTTCAGCCCTAATGAGGCCGAGGTTCCTCCATTCCTCATTATTAAACTGCTACATCCACAGTTTTCACAGTGCACAAGTACCCAACCCCTCACCACGTTTCAAGCATTTCATCCACAGAAGGATGAAAATTTAGAAGCACTCTGTGAAGCTGCCCGTCTAGTACCCGGTACCTTTTACACCCAACTTCAATGTAAATGAACCGGACAAACCCACCCCACGTCGAGGCAAAAATCTAGTGCTCACATCGTTGCCCTCGGTCTCAAAGACATCGAAGAGCAGTGTGATGCGGTACTGCGTCGGGGCCACCAGCTGCCAGATGCAGTTCTTGTTGGGCGGATACTCCCGGGGCCAGCCGGGGCTGGTGATCGAGCCGTTCAGCTTGGTGATGAAGCCACCGCAGGCAGCTAGAAGGACAATAAGACACAATGACAGTGAGAGATGAGGCAAACACTTAGTCCCAGGCTTATTACACTGCAAGGCTTATTATTTATGACTACATAAACCTCAATGAAAACTTACTGGGATATTCTTAAGTTACAGAAATGTGTAATAAATGTTTGGACCCACCATTTAAGGGTTAACATAGAACAATAGTGTCTGACTAATAAAAGTTTTTAAATAAATACAATTCTTTATTTTTCACAATAATAATTTAAGTAGTCATCAATTAGGCCATAGATATTTGCTTACATCTGTGACGATTCTACAAGACAAAACGAAGATTTAAAAATAGATCAGGCTAATTACCTAGCTAACATTAACAATGTTAAAATATGCATATTCTGAAATTGATGCCATCAACACATTCCAAAAAACACTGTTTGTCACTGCATCTACAAATGCAGGACAGGACTGTACTATGCATAGCAGAAGCCATATGTCAACAATGTCAAGAAACACTGCCGAAGTTTCTGCCTGTATATGGAACTTATGGACATTGTATTCTCTGGGCCACAGTAAAAAGACCATCCAGATTGTTACCAGTGTAAAGTTCAAAAGCCAGGGTCTATCATGATATGGCAGTGTATAAATAGGTAACTTGTACATCTATGAAGGCACCATTAATTCTGAAGGATAGAAACACATTTTAAAGCAACAAATACTGCCTTCTAGATGAAGTCTGTTTCGGGAACATCCAAGCTTATTACACCCTGACAACGCCAAGCCACATTCTGGATGTGTTATGACAGCTTAGCTGTCTCCAATTGAAAACATGTGTCATTTTATGATGCACAAAATACGACAACAAAGTATGGCTGCACAGCGAAAGAGTGGCATAACAGAAGAATGGCAAAAAATTTCACTTTCAAAACTGGATTGATTAGTGTCTTCAGTCCCCAAACAATTATTAAATATATTAACCCCTTAAAATCTCAGGCTTATCACATACTAAGGCTTATTACTCAGTAACTACACGGTCTTCAGTGCAAACTTTACAGTGCTTAGCTATTCTTAGGTTATAGAAGCATGTAATAAAACTTTTATTTAAGGAGGTAACATGCTCCTGTGACAAGTATTTTGAAATGGGCTACAGTCAAAGGATTTGGAATGAGCTTTAATTTACTAAAAAAAAATATGGTAATAATAATAAAGTTCATAAGGCAAAACGTGTAATATATGTGCACTGTTTTCTATTTAAAACAGGATAAACAGAATTTACTAATCAATGCTTTCTGTTTTTATTAGCATTTCACATCTTGTCACAACTTTCTGGGCACTGAGGTTTCTATATGTCTGCTGCAGATGCACTTAAATGCATCCTTATCATGTAAGCACACTCAGCAGTGCAGAAGGAAAATAGAAATCTATATATCTGACTTGCTAAAGATACCTAGGTGGCTAAGATGACGATGGGAGATAATCCCCTGAAGGCAGTGGAAGCCGTGCTAAAAAACCAGGGAGAGAAAGAGGGAGGAAAATAAGAAGGAAGAATGTTTTACATTACAGTACAGCTTGTAATATACAGTGCCCGAATCGCTCCAAACTTGCAATCTCCAAAGCCGCAGCACAGAATGCACGTGAAAGATGAATAGCAGCTGTACCCAATGAACGGCGACGACAGTACTCTGCTGTGACAGTCAAAAGGCGCAGACAATAAAACTTTCATTAAAGACTGTTGGATATGAAAGCCTGTCAATTATCCTTTAAGAATGTCCTGGCATAAAACTCTGGCCTTCGCATTAAAACATTTTGCAATTAGGACAGTCCCGTTTTAATTAAAAACTATTTTAAAAATCCCCCTCCAGACATTTGAACCGTCTGAACACAGGCATTTATTTGCAGTCTGATCCAAATCAATTAACGGCAAACGTCCCCGTCGGCCATCCATGTGGACTACGCATAGCCGGGGGAGAAGAAAGGAGTTTCTATGGTTACCACCATGCCACTTACAAATGCCATCAGAGGGGCTAGGCCTTGAAGTTGTGGCCGTGTCTACATTTAGCTTCCAGCCTGCAGCAACCCCGCTTGATTGCGACCCAACAGCTTCCTTCTGTTTTACTGCACATGCTTTCTAAGGAAAAGGGGTAGAGGCAGCAAGCAGGAACCCCCGGGATATGGCCGTGTCAAGAGTTTAGCGGTGATATGACAGGCTTGGGGGAACATGCTAAGCCGAGTGAATCATCCCTTCGCATAATAGTAGATGATTCCTCTATCGCACTCTTCCTGGCAGGCTAAGTTGAAGCCCCAAGTGAGTCAGCGGCGAGATGCTGCAGGCACGGCTGAGGAGACACCAAGTCCGTTTGGGCCCAGCAGAACAGGTGACAGCTAAATGTTAAGCCAGCTTTCTAAACGCAAAAGAAAACATTCATGACAGCACAGAAAACCTCACTAAAAAACAGTGGGAGATCATACGGTCATCATCAACACTTTACTTGAACCCTGCTACATAACACTGACATACCAATGGCATAAACATGTCATGGCACGTCATGAGCTGTCATGACATATTTTATTCAGTAATAAACTAGTGTCATGTTACCATGACTGCTTAAGTCACATGCACATTTTTGCTAAGTGCACTACTGTGAGCTTTCATGACATCAAACATCATGACATCTGTCATGACAATTACTGGTAATAGTAAAATGGCTGTGATAAAAAGGATAGTTCCTAAAATCTGATTGGCTGAGTCGCATTTCAAGTCGTCGTAAAATACACGATATACGCACACCTATGACCGCCTCACAGCAACTTAACTCTGTATTAATATGCCAAGTCAGAAAAATTCTTGTGCTTTTAGTAGAATAATCTTTGATTCTCATGCTGCTTGCAAGGAGCACTGAGTGTACTGATGAAGTAAGAACCTGTTTTTTGTTTAAATTGAGGGGCTGACAACTTATTTGGATGGTCAGCTAGCTAACAGGCTAAAATGTAGCTAACAGCCTAAACAACTCTATCATTGAATTAAAGTATTCACTATATAATTCACTGTAATACAGCAATATGAAAATCTAAAGAATCCCACTTGAATGGCTTACACGCGTCAAATATCCATGTTTCAGTCAGAAGTAGTGTCAAACCCAGGCTGAACCCCAAAGGCTCTGTATTCCCTAAATAGTGGAAGTTCTGAAATTCTAGCCTCTACAGCCAAGTAGTGTACTACTGTTGGAGTATAGATGTGGCTGAATCACAAATGACTATTTTTAGCTATAGTATGCACTGTTGGGGTGCAGGATTAAGTATTTGAATTCCTACATAGTGCACTATGTAGGGAGCAGGGAGCAATTTGAGATTCAGCCCCAGCATGAGAAGAGGTACAACATTGGATTGGTGCTAAATAAGACTCGCGGTGGTAATTTGGTGACCAAAAAGTACTTATGAAGTAAAGGTTTTTGCATTAAACAGTGCTGTGTTATCATATGTTTATTGTTATACAACAAAAAGTGATCACAGTATACAGTGATGGGCGACCAAACGTTCTAGAGAATTGGACAAAAGTACATTACACAGCTAAAACAGTAGCAAAAACAACCTTGAAGCCTGACTGTTCCACAGATTTTACTTTACTTTTACTTTACTGTACAACAGAGTTCACAAGGCTACAAAACACCTACATAAGCTTCATAAAAGACTGATTTTGTCAATTTTTATGTCAAGTTTACATGGAAACTTCATCAGGTGGCAATTTATTTTCTGACATGATTGTATAATGATACGTTTTAGGGTAAAATTACACATCACACTATAACAAGTGACTTTGTAGCTCAGTGTAGCTCATCACAGTGACATAATGCTGACAGTGTGACTTATGCTGTGTTCACATTTTGGCAGTAGTCAGTTGAAAGCAAACCAGATATTCCAATGTTCAATGAGTCGTGATGAAAAAACTCGGTCCGCACCAGCAGAAACATTTTGTAGATTACAGTGGAAAGCAGAATGCTCTGTCAAGAGGTCAATCTTCCTAACTTTTGCAGAATGTTCTTTTTTTTTTTTTGGACGCTGTGGATGGCAAACGTTTCGTAGAATTCCATCTAAACCCAATACTAAATAAATAAATAAATAAATAAATAAATAAAGTATAGAGCATGCTCCTGCTTTTTTCCACCTTAAATAAACAAACAATCTAAACTGCTAAAGCTCTTCTCTGATAATTATCCATTTTCACCAATAAAGCTGTCAGTATGCCAACGTTTGCTGGCGAGGTGTGGACTGAGGGTTTTTTCAACGCAAACATGTGAAAGCAGCATTAAAAACTCAGTTTACTTAAGGACCGCAGAAAACGTTCACTTTTATTCACTGTGTCACCCCTGAAAATGTCATGGCTAAGTGTTTAAGTAGGCCTGTCAGTTGCTATGAAGAGCTTATGTAGGTGTTATGAAGCCTTATGAACACTACCTACAGTAAAGTGTTAACAAAAAACTTAACAACATAGTTTCAGGCAACTCTGTGATGATTCAGTCATGCCTTTTTCACAGCTCTTACGCGTGGGGGTATGACAATAGCATTGTTGGTGCCACCGCCACTGTGGATTATGGTTAAGTAACTCTGACAGCGGTTAAGTAACTCAGATAAATCTGACATCACTGTAACAGATCATCATAACAAATTAGCAATGTGCTTCAACCACTTTTAAAAGGTCAAAGCTTTTTGGTGGGATGTAAATTTGGTAAAGCCAGGTATAACAGAAAAGAAGAGGATGCAGCAGCAGTGACCTGGCTGGCCACTAGGGGCAGTGTGTGGTCACAATTGGAGGGAAGAAAGCGGAAAAGGAGAACTTGAATCATGTGCTTTCTGGGGATTAGGTGGAAGACTGAACAAAATCAATTCACAGCAAGTATTCGCTGGCTTGTTACATTAAGTTACATTAAGTTTATACTTAAAGCTATAATTAACAACAATCAAGGAAAATAATAGTCCATAAAGATTTTTTTGGCCAAACTCACATTCTCTATTTTTTACTGTCTATTTTCCACTGAAGTGTAAATGCTTTATTCAGTCTGTGTATTTGGTGTATTTTTGTAAAAAAAAATATTAATTGTCAAAAAATCTAATAAAAATGAATTGAGGACAATTTCTTTAAAAAATAATTGAATCAAATTATTGCGAGGTCATTTCACTAGTTCACTTTCACAGAAAGACTAAGGCTTTAGAGATCCTGGAATTTCATGACACTTGGAGAGTTACAGCTTTAAAATCCCTACAGATGAGAGAAATCAAACAACAGGCCACTCAACATTCCATCTCTGTCATCTCTCTGGGATACAGAAACAAAAACAAGGGGCTTCTCTTTGACATCTACCTTTTGACTGTGGATATATGGGACTAGTCTGCCATATTGAGGCTAATCATGGTGTACTCACCCTCACAGCTTCGTTTGTCAGCGGCCAGCTCATAGCCTGGGTCACAGGCACACTTGTAACTGCCTAGTGTGTTGACACAGCGTTGCTCACAGCGACCGTTGTCAGGCCTGGAACACTCGTCCATCTCTGCAACGGCATACATTGAGAAGCAAATTGCAGCAGATTCATCAAACTAACCAATTTAGGGTCCATGCCAAAAAATATGTTGTGTTCACAAGGAAAAGTCATGCAAGTTTCATTCTTTTCATGATGAATCAGGCCCTTTTCATGTAGAACTTTGAAGCAAACATCAAAAACTCAACCGCAACAGTCATACTGAATGTCATGCCTCTAAGAACATGCATTAAGAAGCAAACGGAGACAAACAAATCACAGAATACTGATCAAAACAACAAGGAAAAGTCATGTAACTTTCGCTATTGTCACAGTGAATCTGTCCATTTCATGTAGCACTTCTAAAACTTAAAGATTAAACGAACATGTCAAAAACATGACCACCCCAGTCATAACACACGCGCTGTTATGTCTACCGTTCTGATGTGGTCTGAATGCTCACCTTTGAAGAAGTTAGCAGCAAAGCCGGCCTTGTTGACAGAGCCATCGGACACAAACTTCATCCACAGCTGGTTTGAGCTGGTCTTGATGTCGTCAGGCTTGTCATAGCCACAGAAGCGGCCCAGCAGGGGGCTAGTCTCTGAATTCCCGTCCCGAACTTCCAGATAGTCATAAGCACAGCTGTCGTGCCTCTCAATCTGCAAAAAGGGGGTAAAACAGAAAGGGCCATGTCATAAAAGGTAATATAATCAACTGATACAGCCAGATTAATCTGCTTTATTCAAGACATTTCCTTCCTGACTGAATATTACTCCCTTTTTTCAACTGTAAATGCTATGCTAAAAGCGACAGAATCTCAGCAGCCTGTGCTCCTAAGTGAGGATCATGCAGGGCTCTGTCTTTATTTGCACCAGCTGGTTGGAAGCAGGACCCGATCTAAAACGAACCCGGAGACAGTGTGCTGGAACAGAGTGCTGGAATCAGAGGAATGAGGCAAGGAGTAGAGAAGGAAGCACAGGCAAAGCTAAGCTTAGCTTTATTTATATCTAGGCAGTGCGGTTTCCAATCCAGCAACCCGATATCTCAGGCTCTAGCTAATTAGCTGAGTCCAATTTTGTATCCAATTTGTATTGCTATTCGCTATTGTCACAGTGACTATGAAACAAGGAGTAAATCTAAATTATACAAATACAACCTTACAGTCCAAACAAAAAAAAAAATCTACAGTGCTGGGCTTAGTGCTGGCTGATATGCCAATATATACTGGTATACTAGTATTTTCCAACTAAGTTCAGTTGATATACAGGGTGATTCAAAAAGATTAATCCGATTTCAAAATGATTTATTTCACTTGTAAATTATTACAGAACAATGCAGTAAACTGTAAATGGTTTAAGTGAGCATAAAATTTATTATGTAATTTTACAAGTTTTCAATATGAACCTCCTCCAGCTGTACGGACAACAACGCCATAGTCAAATTCATCCCATACTCGATTGAGCATGTCGGGTGTCACTGTACTTACGGCTCTTTCAGTGCGATTTCGGAGATCACCCCGTATTGTTGGGAGTGGTGGCACATACAGAATCCTTAACGTTCCCCCACAAAAAAGTCAAATGGCGTGAGATCTGGTGATACTGGTGACCTTTTTCTTGGAATTGTTGGTACGCTGAGCTGTTGGAGGTTCACTGCCATATAGACAGCCAGAAACTCTATGATCCCCTCTTTCAACTGGTATGTGATTGGTTCCTAGGGGCCTCACGATTGCAAAAATAAGGCGCTTTGAAATCGGATGAATCTTTCTGAATCACTCTGTACTTTGATTGTACCTTCATAAATTAAATAAACGCTTGCCTCCTGAGTATCTTTGCTAGAGAAGCTAACCTTATTAGGTTTCATCTGCTTTGTTCTGTTTCTGCTTTTAAAATTATACCAAAGGAAATTTACACAATATTGTAAACCTTAACCAGATCAAAATCAACTTTCTAGTTATTTAATTTTTATGTATTTTTACCTGTTCTTTCAAACAATCTGAAGACATACATTGGGGCTAACTAAGTACTTGCTATCTATCAACACTAATGAAGATAAGAAGCAATATTGGGTAACACTTATTATGTAGCCCTTCTACATAATAATACATATCATAGCAGATGACATAAGCTGTTATAAGCTGTCATGTCAGATTTTGTTCAGTAATATTACAGCGACATGGTACCAGGGGTTCATTTAAATCATTAATGCATAATTAAATACATGAATTGATATTTTGAAAATACTGTTAGATTTCATTTCTATTTTTTTTTAGTTAAGGACTAATCTACATATCAGTAAACAATTAATGCTATAATGCATTAATAGATGAGTTATAAAGCATTAATAACATTTACAAAGCATTTATAACAGTATTTACCTCAAAGGACTGGAACATGAGGCCTACATGGTATCCCTGAGCAACAGTAATCTTCCATACACAGACTTTATTGGGTCTGTAGTCATCTGGGTAGTTTGGAGACTGGATCTGCCCATTATCCTTCTTCACTTCACCACCGCAGATAGCTAACAGGTAACACACGTCATATCTGATCATCCAACATCATCACCATCATCACACTGAACTCTTCAGAGACAACATTAAACACATTAAACTAAGAGTCATTTTAACATTCATGAATCCACACTACAATAAACTGGACCTTTGATACTGTACACTTTATAAGTAAATATCAATGTACACTCAAAAAAAGATGGCGCTATACACACATCAAAACTTTGGGGTACCCCGGTCATACTGTATGTTTTTTGATTTTCTAAGTGAAAATAAGTAAACATGTCCACTACAGAACCCACTTCTGCATATTTTATGCACACTTACTATTTACTTGCTAAATTTCATATTTCATTATAAAAAAAGTCGCCTCTGCAAGTTATGGCACATTTTATATTAGACATTTTATTATTTTCCACTGTTCAACAATAAATAGAAATTGTGCACTAAAATTTGCAGAAACATGCCATGTTTAAGTGGGTTCTCTGTAGAGCACGCGTCACGCTCCAGTCCTCGTGGGCCAAAACATTGCAGACTTCATGAAATATTTTCAGAGCATTAGATGAGGGTAAATGCTCCGCAGCACTTTGGCCCGCAGTTTGACATGCCAGCTGTAGAGGATGTGTTAACGTATTTTTACTTAGAAAATCAACAAGAGGTGTAATTTGACCAGGGGTGCTGAAACTTTTGCAGACAACTGTGTCTTTACTGCCACATCTGTTGCATTGAGAACTGCCCTTCTGTTCTTCTCTGTACAATATTTGCAGAGCGGGGCCAGATCTAGATCGGTGGGGCAAAAACAATTACATGATTGACATCTTTAATGCGAATTTTCAATAACGCTAAGTTAGTTTGTCATACACTGTGACTTCGAGTAAACCGCATAACCACAGGTTATGTCACATTTAATATGTTCTCTTTTTTTGTTTTCACTATGTTAAATTAATGAATAGGTTGAAAATAATAAATAGCACTAATTAACTGTATTCTAAAAATGTTACTGCTGAATTTAACACAAAAAACTAAACAAAATGTCAAATATGTTAAACTCAGCATTAAAAAAGTGTGTTCTCTGTATTGGACTGGGGTGTTTAAACTTCTGCATATGACTGTCTATCCCTCTTTCAGTTGTGAAACAATGTATATTTCATGTAAGGTCAAGAGCTTTTGGGTGCTGTGTAGATTTGCGTACCTTCATAGACAGCAGAGAAGCCTTTGCCCACCCAGTTGCTGCTACTGCGGAACTCAATCCACAAACGGCTGTCTGTTGATATGATTGGCTCAGGAAGCTTATCTCCACAGAATCGACCTGAAAAAGCAGACAACAGCAGATATTTCACTCACAAATTAACCACTTTGGAATAACCTAGAGTGAACATTTGTGGCCCTCAGGCACAAGCACATTTTTTGTAAAATAAGCTCACCTATAGAAGCTGGTTTATTAAAAAAGCATTTATTATTTTATTATAACATAACTTTATCTTTCCTATGCAAATTAAGGAAGAAAAAACTTGTTACTTGTTAACATGAGGAGGTAAAACAAATGAGCTTTGTGTTCAGCTATAGCATTAGCTAGAAAACAGTCACTAAGTTAGTCTAGTTCAGAGGTCGGCAACACGCGGCAAACACTCCTCGCCAGCTTCTTGTTCAAATTTTTCCCATTTCACCTTAAATGGTGCAGCAGTTACATTCTGGTGCCTCATACACTATTTAAGGTGGAACCAGAAAATACGAACGAGAAGCTGGTGAAAGAGAATTTGACTTCAGCCTCGTAAAAAGTCAAACTTTTAGAGAATTTTTAAAAGAAACTATTCCACTTTTGAGGAAAAGTTTCCTGCAGTAGATACAATAAAGTTAACGTTAAAGAGCTGAAGTTTAAAACAGAGCAAAGTAAGTCTGCGTTTTTTCCGTTTATACGTTTTATCCTATACTAGGACATTAGCTAGCACACATTAAGACATATTTTCAGCCAAAATGGTAAAACGCGACTTCAATAAAATGGACATTAAATGTTGTGGCTCCCAAGTGGGTTTGATTTTTGTTTAAAAAACAAAATGTCTCTTCTTAACTTTTGGGTTGCCAACCCCAGGCCTAGTTAGTCACAGTGGCATTAACTGATAGATAATAGTGCTGTGTTAACATTATTAACATAATGTTAACATTACTAATGTAAGCTCTTGAAATTGGTGTATTTCACTACTACTTCTTTAAAATGCCTGGCAAGAACTCATGGTTGACCACCACAAACATTCAAAACGAGATGTCACATAAATCTACTAGATTAGAGGCCTTTAAAGACAATAAGTGATGATAAAAAGCCTTTTGCCGGCCAGATGAGGATGTGGTTAAGGGCAGCGCCCATTAGACCACTGATACAGAGCAAACATTTGTCATCCAGAGGATATCTGATAAGGCTGTGATAAGACTGATCTGAGCCAGACCTTTCAGTGGAGCTTTCCTCCAATATCCATCTCTGATCTCCACATGGTCGTACCAGCACAGATGGCTCCGATAGAGGTCCATAGAGGTAAAGTTCAGAATGATCTAAATTGAAATCAAACACAAATTCAGGCAACTTGTATTCAATCACTTAACAGCTATAGTTGGAGAAATATGGGTCTAATAACTGTGGTCAAACTATCATCAATAATTCTGAGACATTTAAGGGGCTAGTGAAGAGCTGTCTGATTTTCTGCATGCTCTAATTACTTCGAGAGTTCTTTATCCATCTTATTAACCAAGAAAAATGGTCCAAGGCTCTGATATCATTATTGGCAGGACGTCACCAGCAGAAGCTCATTAAAACTGAACTCTTCGTGAAGCACCTAATTAGACAGATAAGTCAGTCCGTCTGGTATTTTCACCTTTTCGCCTGGCGTTACTGAGATTCTCCAGATACAGTGCATATACGCTGAGTAGCCATTAGGGAAGCCGGGGGAGGAGAAGTTACCGCTGCTTTCTTGCAGACTGTCTCCACATCCTATTAGAGAAAGAAACAAAGAAGAGGAAGGGAGAAGAAAAAAAGAAAGTTCAGGTTAAAGGTGATTTACAATCAACAATGATGAGGACAAGAACGGACTGCAGTGTGCTTAACTGTTCATCGTTAAAAGGGAGTGCAGCATAGGCTATACACTGTGATCTAGCCCCACGTCACACAAAAGAAAAAAAGAAAACAAAAAAGAAACCAAAACAGATTAGCTTGACAATGACGTAGATATTCTTTTTCACAAAGCAAGTTGAGTACTGAATGTTATGAAGCACATCTGCTCTTAATATTAAGCGGTACACTATGCAGTACGTGACCATGTCACATTTTTGAACACTGCTACTATAAAAGATCCAGTGTTGCACTGATCCAGGTAGAAATTAAAGACTCAGGCTGCAGTGTCTAAAAGGAATAGTCAAAAAATAAAATTATGTAATACTCCTCTTATGATAATTGTAGTTGATCAGCCAAGTTTTGTTTGGTGTCAAAAGTTTGCTTCTTCAGTTTTGCTGCAGATAGCATTGTACAGACTTTGCCTAAATAGTCATGCTAAAATCTCAAACAGACTTAGTTTCTTGTGGTCATGACAAGCACTATATCCAGTGAACAACTATTTATGCACAATGCTTATTGGCTTCCATTACTTGTTACTTCAGACAACAAACATGTCTTGGCTAATTGACTACATCTGGGGAAGCTGTACGCAGTTTTCCACAGATGCAGACAATCAGCCTGATTTTGCTTCTTTAGCTTAGCGCTGGAGCTCTAAAGCTACAAAGATCCAAAGTCAATAGTCACCCAAATGTTTTCTGTAAATGCATCCCAAAAACTTCTCTCAACCCCCTCAAACTCCATCCAGGTCTTCATTAAGGTTGTGCTGATGTGATGATGTGGTGATGTGGTTTAGAGCAAAATATGACTTAGTGTGAACTATAAAAATGTAACCTATAAATAAAAATATAACCTAAAGCTGAGCGCTATAGGTACTATAGACAACAGGTGTAGTGCTCAATTCTGAACCATGCAGTGAGGTAACAAAAGAAGGAATTGTATTGGATAGTCTTTAAATATAGAACCAAGAAAGCTATAAATAAAGCATCCCTAAGGAAAGGCACTGAACTGCACACAGTGTGCTAGAAAATAAAAAAAAAAAAACACTGCCGGCCATCTGGAGAATACATCAATACAGCCACAGCAATATAGCTTCATTATGATAGTTCTTCATAAATTAGCCACGACACCTACAGCTCCATAGGAAAGTACACAGTGCTCCTTTTGACCAGTTTGAGGAACTGTGAAAGTTTACAGTAAGTCCATGTAAAGCTCAGAGGCTTCAAAGAGCACCTTTCGGCCTACAGGACCAATTATTACTTCAGTCTTGACTAAAAGGTGCTTATAAAAGAAGCAGTAGAAATGTCACAACTTCAGAGGTAGTCTATTTGGGACTGAGGTATTTATAATAAAATCACCTAGCGGCTCACTTTTCCCCCTTTCTGTCCCACTAGAGAGCTCATAAATGGGCCACGTTGCTCTGTTTACACTCATTACCTTCCTACAGGCGTGTTTTTGCAGCTGTATAAAAGTGAAGCTGCTGAGGGCCCGGGCCCGCAAGGCCTATCGGAGAGGCCCATGATGTTTAAAACCATTAACAAGCGGCCTGGCGAGCCACAGGGAGTGACTGATGCTGTGAGGAATGCTGTGCAAAATTTGGATCCGCCACGCTACAAGGGGAAGTTTTTCCCCCCCTTTTTTTTCCATAGCTCGGTTTTCAGCATCACCCCCCCTTGCGCCACATCATCTGTTAGCACTGACTCCTAGGAAACAAAGTCACGTGACGCAGGCTCTTCAAATGGACTTTAAATACGGGTGACCATTTATAGCATGAGCAACTGCCGGCACTGCAATTATTTGTAGGAATCGTTTGAAGTGGTTTGAGTGAGCTCTTCCCAGGATGGACCTCTAGGAAATTTGCTGCCATTCAATTTAATAATATTTGAACTGACTTTGTGCTCCTGTTCTCTGAATGAAGCCTGTAGTTTGTATTTAGCCTACCGACTGATATACAACCCTCAAGTCTCCCATACTTGTCTCTCCTTCTGAGTAATGGGTTGCTTGACTCTGCGGTGCTGTATGTTAGGACGTCTCTGTAAAGTTTACACTGTAAATGTGTTGACCTCCTTGCTCTCGTTTGCATTACTATACCCCAGAGAGCAGCTGTTCTCTCATCTCTTTTTTTTATCTGGGAAAAAAGAGGGATGACAAACTTCCTGTGCTTGGCCAATGTTTACTCGGCCTTCCACATGCCTGGGAGCCAAGGCGACCGTCGCCAAGATACGGCACCACATCAATCGTGGATGCTCGGCTATTTCCAGACAACGTAAACTGCATCTGGGAAACCTCGGCGAGGGTTTTTCTTCTTCATCAGAAACTGCAAACTGCTGCCCACTGCATGTGTGCTACAGACAAAATCGGGAAATCAGATGAAGGAATACCCAGCTACTGCCGGATGGCGCACCACACTTGTAAAGTTTGCACGACAGTGGCATTTCGGCTTTTGACAAGTAATTGACAAGCTGGCTTGATGATGTCCCAAGACTGTTATAAAGTTTGCAGGATCATGCTAGAGGACACTTTCAAAGACTTGTGACTCACAGCACTTGTATATTTATCTTTCATCTCTCATATATTATCCAGTCCTTTCCTTTACAACACTGGCTTAGGTTTTGGCTCGAAACTCAAAAAAGCTTACATGCCTATGCATCTGAATACAAGTTTATATTACTATTGTTCTTACTTGGACACTTGTAAAGTTTGCGTGCCTGTGCGATGTCTCCTTTGCTCAGCCTTGTCCTCTGGCCGATGGGTGGACGGACTCCATTTATGTCGTACCGTGGTAGGATGGTGTCCAGGAATATCCCTCTGCAAATCAGACAAGAGCAAAAATAAACAGACTCATAAATGTAAGTCTAACTGTAACCCGATCTCTTGGTATGGCACTGGCAGTGATCTATTTGTTATACGTTCCAAATCCTTGTATCGTTCTCCCTCATATTCTCCCTTCACAGCCCTTATGTCTTTTGCACCTTCTCAGATACTAGATAGTGGTTCAAAAAACAAGACTGCGCTTGATTCAAAACATGAACCCACAATACTACTAATGGAGTATTTGCCTGGTCCTCGTAAACTTGTGAACAAAGAAACTGGCTGGCAAAGTAGGAAATACAAGAGGTGAACTCAAGTTTATAAGTTATGATGCATTTGAAGGCAGCACATCAACACAGTAGATCAAGCCAGCAAAAAATTCACCAATTTAAGTCGATAAAGACTTGACACTTTCTGTCATAACGTGCATAAATGACTGTCAGTAAGCAACCAAAATCTTTTTTTTTGAATAACAACTGGCAGTTATGACTTTACGAGGTCATGAAGACCTTCCGAACACACCATAAATTATACAGTTATGATGCCAGTCGGTAACAAAGCTCCTGTAGTTCCAGCAGAAAGCACAGGCACAGGGTTCAGAGGATGGCAGGTTTGAATGCACTGGGTGGCACATTCACTTGTTTAAGACTGACACTTCGCCGACTGGGATTGAAGCCAAATCCCGTTGTCTGCAGACACAAAGTTTCACAGGCTCTGGATTTCCTGCACTTGTGTCTGTTGAACTGAGGGTGGCACAAATAGGAAAGTACTGGGGACATCATTGAGAGCACCTGGGTGACTGAGATACTGTATCTTTTCTTGGTTTCTTCATGATTGGATTCAAATGTGCATTAATTAAAAAACTTGCTCGCAACAAAGTTCAGCACAGAATGACTGCAGCATAAATGTTTCACAGAATTTAGAAGATTATGACGTGGAACATCTGAATTCCCTCAAACCGCACCCTTAAGATGATGACCAAGTTGAGACCAATGCTAGTTGTAGGTGGATGCCTGTAAATGTGGTAAAAAATAAAGAAAAAGAAAAAAGGAACTTCCAAGGTTCGAAAGTCCCAAGACTCCTACCATGTTATTATAAGTACAATCCGAGCGTCACTCCCATCCTGCTTCTTGTCAGACGTAAGGCTCAAGGAATGCCCCTTAACATAGAATCTATACCCTGGGATCATTACAAGAGAAGAGACACACCAGGATCCTTAACATAGAGATTAATTTTAGGTAATTTTCCATTCGATTTTCACCACAGCTTCCCATGTGACATCACTGACCGTATCGTTCTCTTGGGCTATGACCAACTTCCCGAATGGTCAATCATGATATCATGAGAAAAAAAGAAGTGTGGACTGAAAGACAGAAAGCACAAGTTTCCCCCACTGATTAACAAACCACTAACCAGTGTTTTCCCCTCAGCGTCTTGTGTCAAAGCCACAAAGGCCCACAAAAAAGCTAGCGCATGAGGGCCTGGCACTGAAAAGGAAAAACATTTGTACAGTACAACGGGATGATTCAGTATCAAAAACCTGTCCCTTTCTCACCCTCCAATTCTCACTTTGACACTTTCTGCTAGTTTATCGTCCTGCTTTTCTCTGTATGGTCGTTGGCAAAGGCCTGCTCATTTGTTCGTTCCCATGGGAACCATCCTATCAACAGCAGGCATGCTCAAACAGGCAGGCTGAGCTAACCATTTGAGCTAAAGCAAAAGCTTCAAAGTTTAAGCTGGCCTGCAAAATAGAGGCAGACATTGCTGTAATCTGGGGTAACATTTGCATGAAGCGTTCTCTGCGAACCAGTCAAAACAACGGCAAAGGAACAGGATTGTAACGGTTCAGTTGAGGCTAACGGTGTAGTTGTAAAAGCTGATAAAACAGCTTTGACATTCAGGGCTTGCTAAACTAGCAAGTGAACCTAGGTGACAGTTTTTAGCTTGCCCAGCCTGTTGGTCTCTTTCCAGTCCCACTCAAAGCCTGCCGCTAGCTGCGCGGCTAAACACTAGCGCTCTAGCTGGTGTCAGCTCACACAAAGGACGAGCTGGTAGCTCTTTATTTGCTTTGGCCCAGATCCATATGTACCAGTCCCGGGAATAAAAGTATCCCTGAGGAGAACTGGAAGGACGGGGGGCAAGAGGCAGCTGAGGGGATCAGAAAACATGCCCCAGACAAACACCCAGGAGCACTAACCCCTTTGCCTAAAGGAAAGGTTGAGAACCTGAGGGCATGCCATGAAATCCTCCCAACACAGGCACGGGTAAATGACCCAGCTTCCCACGGAGATTTACAGTATGAGCACTCTCCAAACACAAAAGTGCATGATGGGAAAAATCCGAGAGCCCTGTTGACACTCCTAGAAGTGCGGGAGCCAATAAGAACTCAGGGAAGAAGATGGAAAGAGATCAGACACCTTGCATTGACTTGAGAAAAGCTAACAAAGTCTGCCGTGTCTGAATACTGAGGTTTTAAACTCTTGTTGTAGGATCTCAGTTTTTTAAAAAAAAAAGGCAGGAATTTCCATGAAGGCTTCAAGAACTTCAAAGTCAGAAGGTACAAGCAGAAACAGCCTGATGTATTGATTTTACATTTATGGCAAGACAGGTTTTCATAAAGACCCAGGTTCTGCTCTGGGATGAGCCTTTGCTCGTTTCATCATCCAGTTACTATACTTAGCTCAGGTTTCCAGCAAAACTCCCAGAAGACAGCCTGAAGACCATCAGAGAGACAGTGCAGCAGCACTGCTGTCTGAACTAAATCAAATGCCATCAACATAAACAGGCTGTATACTGGTCACCAACCTATCTATGAATCTTAGTTACACCTCCAACTGTCCGCTTAGGCTCTAACTAATCTGTGTTTTCCAGAGGCCGTTCAGTGGCTAGTTTTTGGGATTTTGGATTGGTTGCAAACTTGGCAGGAACAAACTCAAACATTTATTTACTGTTACCCAACATCTACTGGCATACCCAGAGCCTTATACGGTATAATAATAATCATGTGTCTACTTGCATGAAATTTGCTTCACATATACAGCTTAATTACAGTTTCTTCAAGTGAGGCATTTCAAATGTTCTCCCTCTTAGCAGAATCTTCCTAATTTATTGCAATCCAATTTATTTGAAATATATTTGGGCAGCTGCCCAGGCACTGAGAAAGAATGGGAGAGGGAACGAGAAAGAGCTAAAAAAAAATAAGAACAAAAGAAGAAGAAACAGCTGGTTCTCATATAGAGGCAATGTAGGAACGATCCCAGTCTTAGCCCCCCCCAATCCCCCTTTGCAGGCCTTGTTTGCGTGTGCCTCGGCTCACGTTACCCTCACTTTAGGGGAACTTTGCGTCCAGGCTGTCAGAATCGGTCACAAAAAGTCAGGTTAGACACATGGAATGGGAATAACATTCTTCTATCCCGTCACCAAAAAACCCCTGAAAGCTCTTCCAGAATTCACTTCCGTTCAGCTAAGTTCTCGCCCAAACAGGGAGAATAAAATACCAGTTTCTTCTTCAGAAGTCAAGGCATCTTAAGGTCAGCTCGATCATTCTCTTCCACCTTTGAGCCATTAGCTGGTTCAGTGTGGATCTAAGGGTATTTCTCATGCAAGCCGTTAGCATGTGCTTTTATCACTAGCATTAACGTACATAATACCCCTACTGAAGGGATCAAAGCCATTTCCCCTTATTTGAACAAGAGTTGGCTTAAGGCTGTCAAAATCAGTCAGGAAAAGTCAGGATAGACACATGGAATGGGAATTACATTCTTCGATCCAATCAACAAAACTCCCGTGAAAATCCTCCCTGAATTCCCTTCCGCTCAGCTAAGTTTTTCCAAACAGGGTGAATTAAACTATTTTTTGCTTTGAGATTAGGGGTAAGTGATATGACAAATATATATCGCGATACTTCAGGAAATTTTCATGATAAACAATATGTGACAATATTTATTTTCTCAGACATCTGATCAGAAAAACAGTAGCGCGACATTTTAAAAAATACTATCAAAAGTTGTGAACGAGATTTTTATTCAATGTTTTGTATACAGTGTTGCACTAAATCTAGTTAAATGGACCAAGCACTTTATTACAAACAACTCCTTGTTTCTACACTCATTGTCCATTTTATAAGCTCCACTGACCATATAGGTGCGCTTTGTAGTTCTACAATTACAGACTGTAGTCCATCTGTTTTCATACTTTGTTAGCCCCCTTTTACCCTGTTCATGAATGGTCAGAACCCTTACAGAGCAGGTACTATTTGGGTGGTGGATCATTCTCAGCAGTGACGCTGACGTGGTGGTGGTGTGTTAGTGTGTGTGGCGCTGGTCTGAGTGGATCAGACACAGCAGTTCTGCTGAAGTTTTAAAACACCTCAGTGTCACTGCTGGACTGAGAATCGTCCACCAACAAAAAATATCCAACCAACAGTGTCCTGTGGGCAGTGTCCTGTGACCACTGATGAAGGACTAGAGGATGACCAACATAAACTGTACAACAGCAGATGAGCTATCGTCTCTGACTTTACATCTACAAGGTGGACTGACAAGGTAGGAGTGTCTAATAGAGTGGACAGTGAGTGGACACAGTGTTTAAAAACTCCAGCAGCACTGTTGTGGCTCATCCACTCAGACCAGCACAACACACACTAACACACCACCACCACGTCAGTGTCACTGCAGTGCTGAGAATGATCCACGACCTAAATAATACCTGCTCTGTGGGGGTCCGGACCACTGAAGAACAGGGTAAAAGGGGGCTAACAAAGTATGCAGAGAAACAGATGGACTACAGTCTGTAACTGTAGAACTATAAAGTGCTCTTATAAGGTAAGTGGAGCTGATAAAATGGACAATGAGTGTAGAAACAAGGAGGTGTTCCTAATAAAGTGCTCAGTTAGTGTATATTGTAATATTGCCCAGCTTTATTTGAGATTCAAGGCACCTCAGGGTCAGGACGATCATTCTCTTCCACCTGTGTGTCATTATCTGGCTCAGTGCAGAGCCAAGGGTATTTCTCATGCAAGCTGTTAGCATGTGCTTTTATTGCTAGCATTATCATACATAATACCTCTACTGCAGGGCTCAAAGCCATCAAGAATGAAAGAACCTCAGCTTAGCATGATATAGGACTGAGTAGCCCTCCTTGACCCACACCTTTAAGAGTCTCTTTGACCCCAAAACACATCTTGCAAAATGACAGTGCTAACCGTTTGAGGAGTTTCACAGATGTCACAAAGAGACATGAATGAGTGCCTTTGTCTGTGTGGATGAAAAATGGGGTCGATCAGTCCATTGGGACACAGTGACCCAGCCATACAGATAAAACATTCATCCTCCTTCAGCCAAAGAAGGGGAGCTTATGTTCAGTCACTACCACGAGTTCAGTGTTTATGTCAAAGCCATGTAACCCGAGCTTGACTGAAAAGCTTCTTTCAGGTTTACATGTATGTTCATATGACGTGGTAGATAAAACATGCATGTGAATATCTCACAACTCTATTAGGTTTCCTGAGCCCAAGCCATGCTGAAAGCATAATGAAAGAGGACTGAATGCTAACTTCATACATCATGCTACACCTCAGGAAATTCCCAATCTCTGAAGCAAAAGCATTTTCATGGATTTAAGAAGGGTCCCAGCTACTGGATTATTCACTCGTCCAATGAGGGCTTGTGGTGCACTTCTCTGTAAACTCAACATCATCACTGCTAACTGTACAGCCAAAGTGAAATATGCCGCATGTTGCAGGAGGCATTACTTCATTCTCTCAGAGCTAATGTCACAAGAACATGCGCCCCCGTGCCACATTGTGTCATTTTCCACAAGTAAGGGTTTCTTTGGTGAAATCGAGTGTTCTCATAAACCTCATCATGGTAATGGAGGATTATGCAATGCACTCAAACACCTCTGGAACCCTGCAGCCTATTATGACTAGCGAGGCACACGTGCCGGGCGCTTAACACTCAGGCTAATTCAGCAACACAAAGCGGTCATTAGTGAGCAGCAGTGCTTCACTCGTGCTTTTATTAGTCGTTAAAAAATCAGTTGAAAAGAGAAAGGGAAAGCAAAGAATAAGGGCCCCATTAGATGCAATAAATACCTTAAAAAGTTGTCTTTGTTAATGAGGAAAGTGAAAGAAAAACGCAAAAAAGCAAGATGGAAAGAATGAAAGAAAAACAACAAGAAAGAAAGAAAGAAACAGAGTACAGTACTGTAATAACAATATAATAGTACAACAGTACAATAAGCCCCGATACGTACCTCAAAATCTGCTTTATGTATGAGAAAAGAAAGAAAGAAAGAAAGAAGCCTCTCCATGTTACAACGAAATTATTACAGAAAAAAGAATTTGAAAAGAAGAAAGAAAAAAAGAAAGAATTGTTTTTTCTTTTGTCATTTCATTCATTCTTTACATTTCTTTTATTTCCCATATGGAAAGACAGAAAAAGTACTCCATGTCACAATACAATGAACACCTAATTAGACTGATTTATGGGAAAAATGAAAAAAAAAGAAAAAAAAGAAAGAAAAGAAAGAACAAAATCAAAAGAAAGAAAGCCAGAATGCAAGATGGAAAGAATGAAAGAAAGAAAGAATTAAAGTAAGTAGGAAAGAAAGAAAGAAACAAACAAAGAAAGACTCTCTATGTTTCAATGCAATGAATACCTCAAAAATAGACTGGTTTATGGGGAAAATGGGAGAAAAAGAAAGAAGAACGATACACAAAAAACCCAAAATAAATAAACAAATAAAGAAAGAAAGAATAAAAGAAAGAAAAGAAAGAAGCAAAGAACAAAAATATCTGTACACAAAATCTGTACTATACAGCGCTGAACTTCATGCAGCTGCAGGCCTCCATGTAGCGCGTTTCATATTTCAAAAGAATCAGCCGTTAAATGGAAAACAACACAGTTTTTGATCATCATTCTTCTTCATGCTGGCTGAGGCATAATGGGTGGAAAAGCTCTGAAGCTGTCACCTCCACACCTGCCTCACATCACAGCCGAGCGAATTAAAACCTGGCTGATTAGGGAAATTAATGGTCCAGCTGAGCAGCTTTGACATTTGTCTCCACACGTGAGCAGCTCGATCTGAGCTTTAAACAGCCGGCCCTTCACACAGGAGCTCACATTAAACGCCTGAAGTAGCCGCCCGGCGGCTACAAGCCTTCAAAGGCTGGCTTCAAAGGCTACTCTCAGTGACGAGGCTATTCGCACTGTGAACTTTAAAAAAAAAATAATACAGGGGGTCCTTTAAGTTGTGGTTTTATATGGCAGAAGAACTGTGTAAAAGCCAGGCCTGGTAGCAGCTGTGGTGTCAATGAGGGCGACAGGGCCTGATTAAAACCCAATCGGGCTTGCTGGCCTGTTGCCATGGAAGCAAGCCAGAAGCAGAAATCAAACCAGAGGCAAACAATGTCTAAAATCTCAATTAAAGGTTCACCAACCAAATGTATTTAATTACTACCTAAATAAACAAACACCAACACTGACAGACATATTTATATCTGCATACGATTTGCCTCTTTTACATTATCTTCATTTTGTAATGTCCAGACTAGAGTTTGAATTTGATCACATCGGGTCTTTCTCATTTGGTTTGGTTGGTTTCACATGAAATGGCTAAAGTGCATCAAGTACATGGGTCACCTGATGCGTTACTGCCATTTTGATTGGCTTGTTTCACAAAGTTGCAACCGCTGCGGCTCAGTTGCAGGACACTTCACATTATGCAACTCAAATGCAATTCAGTTTCATGTAGGTTTCAAGCAACTAAAGCTGCATAAAAGTTTCACCATATAAAGCCAGCCTTCAATCCATGTACACGAGTGCTGACACACATATACACACACTTTAATGCATACACGGCCCCCCTGTTCTCAGCCTGATCTCCACCGAGCGCCATGAGAAGTACAACAGCTTCATTGTGAAAGCTCAGCAGGAACATGTAAGAAGAGAAAGATGGCAGGATAGTTGTGTTAGTCCAGGGGATTCGCTGACGCGGCATTTAAAAGGTCACTCTGAGGGAACAGACAAGAAGATACAGACTTCTTGTGACAGTGAGTGAGATGATACAGAGTCTGTGTATCTGAGGATGAGATTATTGTGTTTTAAGACAAGCAACTCAAAAACAGGAGGATTCTGACATGATGGCGGTACATCAGTTCAGTGTATCTGAAAAGAGCAAAAGCATGTAAATAAACAGCCCTAATCCAAGTTTAAATCATTACCTCCGCCCGAAAAACGATCTTGACTTTTGTTTGCACAAAACGACTGAGTGAAACTGCACTAGTGACTAAAAGTCGGTTGTAGCATGAAGAGTGCTGAATTCCATTCAACCCAATGTGAAATGCGTTTTCTGTGTACCACGCTACACCATCAGGCTGCACTGTGTTGTAGCTAATCAAAAATTGGCAGATGTGACAACAAATAAGAATACTAATACAAATAAGAAGCCCATCTGTTGCTGGATTCTGGATGATGTTGGCAGGAGTTTTTAAACATGTCACTGTCACTGCTAGGTTAAGACAGAACCACCATTCAAAAATATCCACCTAAGAGCCGCCCTGTGGTCAGAAACTGACCACAGATGAAGAGCTAGAGAATATAACTGTACACCGACAAGCTTAACGTGCTAAGTGTTTCTAATAAACTGTACAGTATAGTATAACAAACTGGCCAGTAAGTATAGGTGTTTCCACAAAAACTGAGCTGTGTGCTACAATTAGTCATGAGGTTTGAAGAGATTTTCTTCAAGCTTGCCCAACCTCGGAACCACTACTATGAAAGAATGCGTTTGTGGGTGGAGCATGGACAGCTCAATTTGGAGGACAGAAAAAATTTAGAACCATCAGTACTTCAGCGTTAAACCTGCATAAGCACATGCTGGAGAAAATGAAAGACAGTAACGTATCAGCAGCAAGGAGAAAGACTCCAACTGTTCTGAACAGAAAATATTAACCTGCAATTCCATTCCTGCTTCTTCTAGAGCCAACAGTTCTGCATTTGAGGAATCTGCTTTACACCCTATTTTAGTTCTGATTCCAACAGCACAAAGTAGGTCAGGAAAAAAGCTACTGGAAGATAATGAAGCCTCTTACCTGGAAAATGTATTTCTGGCATAGTGCATAATGCTGTCAAAGTCATAGACTTCCCCAAGAGAGTCCACTTCGCCAGGCTCCATCTTCAAGAAGTTGTACTCCTGTCCTATGTGGTGAAATCAAAGAGATGCTGCATGAGGCCTTGTGGTCAGGAGTGGAAACCACTTAAAATTTCAACTTAAGCTACTGTAGTGATCATTCATTTGAATAAAAGTAAAGGTATTAATAAAGAAAAACCCTCAAGTGAAAATTGTGCAGTGGAAAAACTAAGTAATTACTTCAAAGAAAGAAAGTCCATTGTTAACTAACTTACTGGCTAGCTAAGATAGCCCATAGCTAACCTTGAAAGCTAACTTGCATTAGCTAAAATAGCTAGCTAGCTAACACAAACACTCACACAGAACATATGCAACAGCTTCATGATTACTAAAGAGCTGTTGCGCTTATTATTGTAAAATGACAAACATCTAAAACAAGTAAACAGTAAAACGCTTAGCAAGGATGAACTAGCTAGAAACAGTTAGCCAGCCAGCCAGTTTCTTCCCAAGAGTGGGAAAAAGTGGATTTTTAGTTTGTAGGTTTTATTAAAAATTAAAACAGCCAAGATGAATACTTTGTTAGAAATAAGCTCAAGTAAATTTACCATAACTCCTATGATAAAAAAAAATTACCCAGTAGCTTATTTGAAAGCCAGTTTACATTAGCTAAATTAGCTAACATGGGCACTCACACAGAACATAGCCAACAGCTTTGTGTTTACTAAAAAGCTGTCGTGCTTGTACTTTTAAAATGGCAAAATAAGAGTAAAACAGTAAACAGCAAAGATCACAGCTAGAATTATATAGCTAGGATTAGTTAGCCAGCCAGCTAACTGTAATGTCTTCCCAAGGCTGGAAGTGGAGTTGTAAAAAGTGGCTGTTTTCACCTTGTAAGTTTTATTTAAAATTAAAATAATGAAGTGAATTTCTGTTAGAAATGATTTATAATTATACTAAAAAAAAGTACACATTAGCTTACCATGAAAACCATTTAACATTAGCTAAATTAGCTAGCTAACATGGGTACTTGCATAGAACATAACTGACAGCCTTATGTTCACTAAAAAGCTGTTGTTCCTGATATTTTAAAATAAGAAAACACTCTTACAATAACTCTTATGGTAATTATATGCAGATATACCCATCAGCTTACCTTGAATGCTAGGTTACATTAGTTAGTAATTAGCTTGATAAAACAGGCACTTGCAAAGAAACAGGTAAAATAAATAAGGTGGGATTAGTCAGCCAGCCAGCTAATTTATTCCCGAAGCTGGACTGAGAAAAGCAGATTTTTTTAACATTATAGGTTTTTAATAAGAACTACAATAGCAGAGATGAATGTGTTACTCAAGTAAAATTACCCTGACCTATAATAATTACACTAAAAAGTACGGTGCCAAGGCCAATTTTACATAATCACTATAATGAGCATAGCTCTTAATTGTTACTTTCCACCCTGCGTACTACAGCTGAAACAAGGAACCTTCCAAAACATCACAGGAAATGATAACACTCAAGGCCGCAGCTGCAGTCAGTTTCAAGAAGACTGATGTTTTAATTTAGCCCATAACGATCTACAGGTTCCTCAATGACATCAATGTCAAATCCTAAATTTACTTCTCATATTTTGTGGGTTTTGCGTGGAATTAAGCAAAGTAGGCTGTTAGTGGTGAAGTGTTCATAAAGCTAACCACATATGGAACCTCACAGAAACTGAACGGCCATTTTCACCGCAAATAGTATCGTAAACTTGTAAATTTATTTTAAGTCAGCATGATAAATTCACAGGGTTAATCTCAAATGTGTTCCAATCTCAATATTACACCGAGGGTTTTGGCTGCACTGCTTCCATGAGTCACACACCCATAAAAAAATGAATGCAGGTCACACCTAAGAATTAAGGTCAGAGGATTTTGGCACAAAGTGGCATCCAAGTATTCATGAATGAGATGTTATTGAGCTGTTACTCAACCACATAATCATGAGTAGTAGGTTATTAGGCCACGGCAGGTAGGTTCCACCATCAGAGCAGAGGTTTTTGGCCCGTCTTCCTAAATACTAGGATTAAAGCAGACTGAGAAATAGGCACACGGGGGGATTTGTCCTGATCCCGTTTGCCAAGAATGTGTCTTGTAAAGGTAGCCATGTTATTCCAGGCCTGCAGTGTAACAGCTGGTGAAATGTTCACTGAACGTTAGTACTATGTTCTCTCACCAGTCTAAGAGCAGAAGATGTGCTCTCTTTTGTTTCTTGAACAAAAATGTTCCCTGACAAAATGGTCCTAAAGGGCCCATATTCATAACATTTGTCTGGCATTTTTATGTTTTATTCTCTGGAAAGTGAGGATTTATGACCAAAAACATTAATCATTTTTCCAACCTTTGTTTATTCCTTAAACAGGCTTTAGGACTGATATGTTAGAAACCTCTGTTCTGATTGGCTGCCCTGTGGCTTTATCAAAAAGCAGTCCCGGCTGAAATGTACAGAACAAAATGTTAAGTTTGCACTGCAACTCTCAGGAACGTCAGCCACCTCCTCCTTTCAGATATCTGGATTCTCTGGAAGGCTGCATTAGTCCGTTTGCTTCTCAAGAGCCAGGAACAGTTGAATGTTTTTCTCCACTACAGCAACAATCCTAATGTGTGCCAAACTGCTTTATGCTGAAAGGGCTGTTATATGTCAATAGCTCATGGTTGTGACATCATTACCACACTTCAAAAGGGGCCATTTTTGCAACGTAGATTCCATATATAATCTGTAGGGGGTGTAAATTTTGAAAGAGAGCTCCACTTATTTTTTTGGAGTTCTACAGTATTGAATGGTTAAGATGTAAACAAAGTAATTCAGAGTGGTTTAATCTGAAATGTTCTGTTCTAAAGTATGGAATTTTTTAGATTAAAAAAAAAAAATTCTCCCCAATTTAGTTGTATTCAGTTCCACACACTAGTTAGGACTCTCCCAATCATACGACACCACTAGCTCTAGGAGGGCAAAGGCAAGCACAAGCTTCCTCCGAGTCATGTGAAGCACTACCGTATCTTTTGGAACTGCTGCTAGCGTAATGTCACTGAACAGCTGAGCGAGCTTGGAGGAGAACACTAACCGCCAGATCTGTTACTTCAGCTAACAAATGCTTGCGCTGGCTAGCATCACGCTGAGTGATGGGGGAGAAGGAGGGCCATCCTACCCACCCTTAGCAAGGATGAGAGAGCGGGGCCGATTGTGCTCTCATGGACTCCCGGACAAAAGGACAGCTGTATAATCACCGGAGATCGAACTCGCAATCTCCGGATGATAGGGCCAACTCTTCCATAGTCGTGACACTCGGAAGCCCCATTCTAGAGAAACTTATCGAGTGTTCATAGTGAGGGTGACAGGAACCAGATGTTTAAGGAGTTTAATGACTCTAAAAGCTCCCACACAGAAAGTTACTACACTAAGTGGTTAAGAATTTGCTGATTGATGCCTAAGACACTGTTTTATGATAGTTCTGAGAAGGTTTTAGCCTTCTTAAACATATTTTGTAAACCATTCCTGACAGAGAGGTACATGCAGGCTGTTATAAGACAAAGTGTTCCCCCCAAAAATAATTTGGATTGATCATGAATGTGGAGTGACCATTTGCATGGCTTAAGATTGTGATGTGACTTCTTTCTGACACAGATGTACATTGTTTGGTAGTTGTCTTACCTGGCTGGATGTTGTCCCGTATGATGCTCACATGGTCGTCTCGATCGGGCCGTGTGTGCTCGTGCCAGAATCCAATCACATGACCGAGCTCATGCACCACGATTCCAAACTTGTCACAGTTTTTCCCAATGGATATGGCCTGGGGCCCCCCGCCCCTGCGGCCCACGTATGAACAACACCTGGGAGGAGAGCCACATCATTACGACTCACCTCATCATCATCGTCATACGTCTTATTCAACACGTTAAATACAAAGAACTTGTTAGGTTAGCCATTGAAATATAAGTCGGGATTTGATCTAACAAAAGTCTTATGTTATGGTGCAGTGTGGGATTAAGGCCTTGCCCAAGGGCACAGCCAAGTACAACCCTTGTTGGGATGTTGGTGCTAGGCATGCAGGACCAAGGCCAAGATCAGAACTGGCATATTTTTACTTTAAACAAGCAACTGTCAATCTGCCAATTTATTATGTATATGTTGGCCGATTTGTGTTGTAATTTTACATGACAATAACATGAGGTACGTAAGTGCACTCGCTGAGTATTTGAGTGCTACTGCTACACCTGTACCAAAAAGCTATAGCATAATTATGCCTGTCTCATTCACGATTTTTGTTTACAAACTGCAAATGTCAGTTTGGCCCAGAACTACTAATTCCAATTTGGAACTGGAATCAGCATTCATCAGCACTCAAATGTTTCAGGTGTTTAAACCACATTTGGGCCAAAGGAGTTTCAATATGTGCCTTTATTAATAGTTTGGAAGAGAAAACTCACAAAAACAACCTTCATATAATGGAAGAGTAATGTGTGATGAATATGAAGCTGAAAAGTGTTGAAGCTAAATATATCCAATATTAGTGCATAGCTGCTATATGCAAAGCTTTTGCTGGTATTTTGCATAATTGTATGAAGTAAAAAAAAGCGAAAATAAAAAAAAATTCATGTGTCCCTAAACTTTTAATGTCAGGGTTTGTATAACGCGTTTCAGAATTAAGAGAAGACAGAACACTGTTGATAAATGCAGTCTAGTCAGAAAAAGAAGAGGGACCGGCCACCCAGCAGGACCATAAACACACATACACACACACACATACACACACACAGAATTTCTCTCTCTCTCTCTCTCTCTCTCTCTCTAACGGGTATAAGTCAACACATACACACACTCTCAGCTTGTGTGTGTGGGTGCAACAGGCCACTCTCTAATTACTGAGCATCCAGTGGCTCAAAAAACGATGCCTTGAATTTTACACAGCAGAGTTCACTGACTCACTCACACACATTCTCTTTCTCGTACACACTCTCTCTCTCTTTTTCTCACACACACACAGATGTGCATGCTACCCACGACATGGGCACTAATACATCATGACAGACCTGGATTTTTGAACTTTACACTGGTAACAATCTGGATGGTCCTTTTCTGCCTCGACCCATAGAACATGACATCCATTATTTCCATTACCAATCGAAGGATGACTCACCAGACCACAATATACACTCCCACAGTACATCTGTCCATTTCAGACATGTCTAAAATCCTTCCAATTGCTCAATGAAGAACAATGTGGACTCATTCACCACATTCAGCGTTCTTAAGAAGAAATTTCTTCTTAAAACCCCTTTACGCAGTTTTCATGAAGATTCTCACATTCACCAATGTTTTCCCATTTGGTATTTGTTCTTAGGTAAGAACACACACACTCAAGAGCAGAAAGGAGAGAACAATTCTGCAGTTTAAGAACACGTCAAGAATCTATCAGACTTTCTCTTAGGACCTTTCTCAGGAACACATTAAAGAAAAAAACTTGAGAAGATATTGGTGAATGAGGCCCATTGTTCTTAAACTGCTGGATTATTCACTAATGTATTTTTTGGCAAAGAGCTGAGCCTCAACCCATCCTTGCTCATTTACTCAATAAGGTAAAATATTAAACATCTTGTCCTTGTACTGACTTTTTTGTCTGTTTTTATTTGTATTTTACAAACTACCCCAACTTTTTTGGAACTAGCAATGTTTAATGCGCAAACAGGCCAAAAGCTTAAATATAGGACAAGTGGAAATCTTTTACGTTACTACACATAGCCGTGCACACCATCAATAATCTGAACATGATAAACAAATAATGTCAGAGTGAACAAAAACTATGTCTGGTGGGAAACATGACTATTTTGCATGATATTAAAAAGTTAAATAAACGAACAAATAAATAAACCCTGCTAATTAAAGCAAAGTGTATTATTTCTCTCTCCCCTGGAGTTTTATTTCTGTGGCAGCGCCGAGTAAAGCAGGAAGTAATTACATATCACAGCCTCAAACAGAATAATCAGCAAAGATAAATAAGAATGGCTTAATAGCGTCAGGAAGCATCCGTGGAAAATTAAAGAAAAATAAATTCAGTGACGATGACTAAACATTGCCATTAAACTAAACTGCATGTTGCACACTGGCTCTTTTTAATAGGATCTCCTCCATAATTATGTGGTCTTATATACCAAAAATAGTTGTCATTTAACTTTACATTACCATTTTCCAACCTGTCTTCATCTCTCAAGGACCTCTGAATAAACAAACTTCGGTCTCTTTTTTTGGACATGTAGCTATTTTTGGACAGCTGTGATGATACACTCGCTTCCTGATAGCCAGGAACAGCACAATGTTTAAACATTTTCCCAGTCTAACACCTCTGCTATAGACTGTGTGCAGGAACAACAATCATTATCACTTTATTTGAAAGGGCAGCTATATTAAAGATTGGCAATATGAGGGTATTTTATCATTATCGCGATTTATTTTATCGTCATAGTTAAAAAAATATGCTTTTCTGAGTATATCGAGGATACTGTCCATAAAACACTGACCAACTGCATGTTTCATTAAAAAGAGAGCATTATTAGTCATGTTTAACTGGATTTAATCCAGTACAATATGTGGGAATAAAAAGCACTGTGCCCATAGTTTTTGATGGCGCGTTTGCACTATGATGAAGATACACTAATTAAACTGTATAATTCAACGCTTGAGAAAGTCATTCAGAGTGGTTTGATGTGAAATTCTCCATTCTAGAGAATATAAATTTCCTTACAGTGGAGGCAATAAGAAGCATGGGGTCAAGTTTGTGGTGTTGGTGGTAAAATAGTGGTAAATTTGAAATAAATTAGTTTCCTTTGGGCTCTATTTTGCCTGACAACACCCTGCATGTACCTCTCTGTCAAGAATGCACATTCAAAACATGTTTTAGGTAAAACGTCTCAAAATTATAGTAAAACAATCATCAGGCAGAATCTTAAGACTTCTTTTTAGACCTGTTCTAATAAATTAATGTTGCTTTGTTTTAGAAACTCTGGATCTTTCAATAAGAATCCTAAGAATCTTCCTTTTAAAAGTGTTTTATGGGTTTTGTTTAAAGAAATTCTGGATCTTTTTAAGTTGAATTATAAGACTTTAAGATGTGTTTTTTTATTAATTTGTCTGTAAAGCACCTTGAGTTGATGCTGTCATGAAAAGTGCGCTATATAAATAAAACATTATTATTATTATTATTATTACTTATAACCATTACATATAACAACTATCTGTAAGGGAGCTTTTTAATTATTTTGGAGATCTGGTTCCCATCAGCACTACTGTGAACAATTCAGACTCTGAGTATTTCACAACAAACTACCCTGAATGGCTTTGTTTACACCTTAACCATTTAACTAAGGGAAATATCAGTGGACACTGGTAGAATATAATATTTAACAATTTAACATACTGTGAGGAAATGCATGAGGCTACATTACTTTATTACATTACTTTATAATAACCCACACCTATATTACATCACCTCAACTCCTGTCAGAACAATTTAGACTTTTATTAATTTTATTTACTTTTATTAGTTTCAACAGTGTTTCTTAATTGCTACACCCTCTAATTTCCTTTGTGCACTATTCATTACTGGAGTGGCCTGCCTGAGATGAAGACATACTTCATGACTAAGTGAGCGGTCAGCAACAGCAAGACAGCTGAACTGGGGGCTGAGTCGAAAATAATGAGGCCAAACAAAGCTTGACTGGACTCTCAAGGGTGCTGTTCTGACAGGCTGAGGTCTGAACTCATGACACACACATACTTGCACGCGCACACAGTGTCTCTGCAGGCTTTTCCTAGGGTTTAAAGCGCATGCGTGTTCAAATGAAAGTTCCGAAGTGTTGAGACAAAGTAGCCAGACGTTTTCCAGCAATGAATACAGCGATCTGTAAGCCAAACCAGCAGGGTGGCTATTACAGCGACCCGCATACAGGCACATATACACAAAGCCATGTCTGGCACACAGCAAGGATAAGCAGGAGTGGAACAATGGCTGTGAGGAAGAGGATGGATGGAAAAGCACTTAGGTGATAAGTCAGGAGGAAAGGAGAGAAATGGAAAGAAAAGGAAGATAAGTGAGAGAAACGCATGAGCAAGCATGAGGAGTTTTAAACACACTCACATGTGCCCTTTCACACACACAGTTTTAGTACCTTGTTTGGACACAGGGTCATACATATCTACCATACGTATTATATATATGAAAAACCTGTATGTAATATACCTATATGTAATATCTATTACGCATATTTTATCACTGTCCAAAAAATGAAACAAAAAAAAAACATGTATCTTTCTTTTGTCGATTTTTATTTTTCTGTACTATTTGAACGTTTGAGCATTTCAGAACGAATGGACCAAAAGAAGTGCTCCAAAATTATTTGAAACAAAATCTCTTTATATTAACTTCCATGAAAAGTTAAGAAAGGTTTTGTCTTCTCCTGTAAGTTACCATTTTGGAGATACTTGTTTTTCTTTGAACAGGGACGACATGCAAGTACCTGCATATAATATGTTCCCATATATAAGAACAGTAAAGCGCCAAAGTCCTTCAGTTATTTCATTTCCAGTCAAATGGCCATAATATATATTAATTTTAATAATAATTTTTCTGAAGATATTTCTAAGGAGAATAGATAAAATAAGATCAAAAGGACAGGAAATGAAAAAGGAATTAAGTGACAAGAGTTTCAGAAAATGCAACCAATTTCTAAGACTGAACTTTGGAGGTGTAGAAAAATATCCCTGCAGATTTCTTAGAGAAACTGAAAGAGAGTCTCCTGAAAAGAATGGATGCTGTAATAAAGGCAAAGAGTGACACATTAAATACTATTATACTATATTATATTTATATGTTGAGGTGTTGAGGCTTCTGTGTAATTTGCTATATATATCCTGTATGTATTATATATCACTGCTGTCACACCAAAACCTCATAAACTGGTAACTTTACAGGAGAAGCAAAAAACATACTTGACTTTTAATGTAAGTCAAAGGAACCAGAATTTTTTCCAAGTTATTCTGTGCAAGTGAAATTTTAATCACAATGTAAATGACAACAAGCATTTTCGAATGATGTCAAAAACTGAAAAGTTACAAAAAATGAAGATTTTGTTCTGATAGCAGTGATATGTAGGTATCTATGGGCCGGTTTCCTGTCCTGATTTTCTTTGGTTTTCCTACATAGGAAAACCTTTTTTTTTAATCCTGCTGATCTCGTACAAAAACAAACACGTGCGCTCTCACTCACCCACACGGCCGGTAGGTGAAGACGATGTAACTCTCCTCTGTGGTTCTCTCGATGAAGGTCACACACGTGTGTTTTTCCCAGTGTCTCATAGCCTGTCTGAATATGGCCCGCTGACTACCTGCAAAACACACACTGGTAATGAGGAGGAGAGACGACTAGAGGAAAGATGAGGTCCAGAGAGCTAAATAATAGTCTAGACCATGATAATTGATAACTTGCATAATGCCACATGTAGTTATTTAGACACAAACTAAGATTTTCATTGAAGGCCTCTAATTGATAGTACATTGACCTAACCGACAGGGCAACTAATTGACAGTGCAGTTAGTAGAAGACTGAGCTCAGCCTTGTCTGGAAAAACCAGGCCATCCATATATAAACAAAAAGAAAGCTCTGTACAGTTAAATCCAGAACAAGGCCGTGTGTTCTTAGTGCTTTCACAAGCCTGTTCTGAACCAAAGCAGCGAAAGCAGCCAAGTGAGCAAGAGGGCGGGAATGCGATGCTGACTCAGCACTTCCGCGCCGCTCTGTTCTTGTGTAGCGCTCACTTCACTGTATTTGTTTCAAACAGCATTTGTTGAAATCCACACCGGGGCCAATGGGCTCAACCGGGCGGGATCAGCCCGAAGCACTGAAGGAGTTTGTTCAGGTCAGATTAAGGTCAATGAAAGAAGCATGAACGAAAACAGACATCTAGAAAATAGGGCTGCAAATTATGGATAAATTACCATATACTTCTGTATACTGCAATATGCCTTCTAGTAGACTAACAATACAAAATACATGCTTACAGACAAATTCCACTGATTTTTTAGCATTTCTGCATATTTAAATGATTAAGACGTGAACAAAGTCATTCAGAGTGGTTTGATCTGAAATGCTCCACTTACCAAATCAGAACTGTAGAACTAAAAGCTACCTCACAGAAAGTTCTGCTATGAAATGGTTATGAATGCACTGCCTGATGCCTGAAATATAGTTTTACGATTGTTTCAAGATTAGGTTTTGGGCTAAAATGCATTTTTTTTTAAATCCAATCAATCATTGTGCAAAGGTACATGAATGCCGTTATAAGGCAAGAAAGTCCCAAAAGATTTTTTTTTTTCAAATGCTACATATAAAAACCAAATAGGTTTACTGGTAGTTTGGACAGTCAATAAACTGGCTATGTTTGTGTTGTTGACATTGCCACTCCTGGTTCCTATCACCACCACTGTAAAGAAATCTGAGCCAGTAAGTTTCTCTACAATGAGCCATTCCACATCATACCACTCTGAATGACTTTACACTTTTCAACCACACAGAAATGTTGAAATTTAAATGGAGTTGCCCTCTAACACTGGCCTACATTATTTTGACCAAAAAAAATACACCAATAGAAACTCATCTGGAGCCCACAGCACACAATAAAAACATCTTTTCCATATTACAGCCTTTTACAATATCAGTATTCATGTTATATGTAACATATTGCTGAATAAATTATACACATTGCAAAGATCACTACTTTGATAACAATTAGCAAATAATTTATTGTGCAGACCCCAATATGCAAATGCACAAACATAATTCCCAAGCTGAAAACAAAGAAAGACATGCAGACACAGTCCTTGGCAATTACAGACGTTCATTCAGAGCAGATTAAGGTCAGTGCTGAGGACATAAATCAGATTTTACAATAGGTCAGTGAAGACAGACACGCTTGTACATACAGCCTCTAGACAGAGAGGCTTGCTTAATTGGGTCACTTACCACTAAAGTTCCCACTTATGACATAAGGGATGACTCCCTCAGGCCACACCCTCTCAGGCCTGGACGTCGCCGCCCTCTTTCTGCGACGGGAGCCCTGCCGATTGGATACCGCAGTGTTTGGACTCGTCTCATTGGCAGACAAACCTGTCATTTACGACATCAAATAAACACTGAGGGTTCGCCTATGAAAATCACCAGGTTCAGTCATCATAATTCACTCAAATTAAATCCTACATGTGCGTCAGCAGCCTGAAACAGACTATGCTAACGCTGTAGATGCTTTGCAGATGCTTAACTTGTCATCAACTTACATTCAACCAAGTATCTATTAACATCAGCTTCACCTTTCCCTAAACCTACATGTAACAGTAGTTCTACCCATTTAAAGGAATGGTTTTGCAAAAAGTTTAATTTACACATTTTACATTTTTCCCCCAGATGCAGCTGATCAGCCAAGACATGTTTGGAGCCTAAATTTTGCTTCTTTAGTTTTAAACTGGAGCTACGAGGCTAATGTTGCCAACACTAGAAGACAATAGTCACACACATATTTCCTGTAAATACATCCCCAAAAATTCTCTCAACCCACTCAAAGCACATCCAGGTCTTCATTAATTCACACACCTAACACTTTTTCTGCTTACCCCACTTTTTTTTTTATATCAGCCAACATTTTTGGTGTCCAAATTTTGCCTCTATAGTTTTAAATTGGAGCTTTGAGGCTAATGTTGCTAACACTAGAAGTCACATAATTCCTGTAAATACATCCCCAAAACCTCTCTCAACCCACTCAAAGCACATCCAGGTCTTCATTAATTCACACACTTTACACTTTTTCTGCCTACCCCACCTTTTTTTTTTATCAGCCAAGACGTTTAGTGTCCAAATTTTGCCTCAACAGTTTTAAACTGGAGCTATGAGGCTAATGTTGCTAACAAACACTAGCACGATACGGCTTACTATGAACTATAAAAACGAACAAACTTAGGGGTGTTACGTTGAATTCTGCCTCCACTTCACATGTACGCAGGCATATGGGTACTATAGATTTCGTTCACAACTTCTGTTGTTTCCATTTATAAATTGCTAATCTTGAATTTTCTATATTTAAAATTAGAATCAACAGAAATTTTGAATGTCCGTTAGCATCCATGTGCCTGCTTGACGTGTGTGCAAGTGAAGGGGCTGTTGTTTCAAATAGCTGCCCACACATGAAATTTTGTTCTTCTTTATAGTTCACAATAAGTCATACTTTGTCCTAAACCACAGTGATAAGTCTGTGCAACCTTAACCAAGAGCTGGATGTGATTGGAGAGGGCTGAGAAGTTTCGAGGATGTATTTAAGGAGTAGATTTGGGTGATTAGTGTTTGCTAGCAACATTAGCCTCCTAACTCCGGCGCTAAGCTAAACAAGCAAAATTTGTACATCAAATGTCCGACTATCAAGTGAGACTATCAGAAGTCCGAGCTATCAAGTGAGCTCTACCTAACACGTAATGAAGGTTCACAGCCACAAATTATCACTCTAAATCATTACATACTCACTTCAACCAACAGAGGTGTTTAGTAACCTCAAGTAGACTTAGCTTATGACAATGTACGACATACTGTTCTCTGTAACAATGTATAAGATGTATAAGACAAACCCAAAGAGATGCTAAAAACAGAAGTCGCAGCAGCCATTTTGAAGCCTGTCTGTACTTTCATCCACTTTTATAGGTAACAGTACAGTAACTTCAAGTATATTTAGGATTACTTGATGCGGTCGTGATAAATGATTTAGGCATGAAGCATAAATGTTAACCCAGCTGCTAAAAGCCTCCAATACTGGTAGTTACATTAGCATCGTAGCTCCACTCCAAACGTCACACGCCAAACGTTTCTTGCCTGATTAACTTTGTTTAAGGTAAAACTGTGGGAAAATGATGTACATTTGCTTTTGGGCTGAAGCAACTAATCCTAATAAGAGTTTCACCAGATAGTCTGGTGTCTTGTTGTTAAAACTGGTTAAGAATAATTTACGCAACTGCAAAAAAATCCATGAAGAATTACCCCAAAAAAAGTAACTGTTTGCACCTGTAGGCTTATTTGGCCTATTAGTGCTGACAAGTGGGGAAAAAAATATTATTACTCTTCCAGAAAACAGCTTTACTTTGGTTGTTACACACATTTAGATAATCTGAGAGCATTTTCTTAATGATGTTGGGTGTGGGTTTATGAATAATAGTGAGAACAAAGGACACGTTGTACTGTGTCATACACAACAACTCGTAGGCTAATATTTCTTGATGGTTCTAGCAGTCTGCTCACAGACAAGACGGCAGGTGTAGCAACTGTTTGAAATGATGCTTGACCTTAGGTTGCACCCATCAACTGCTGGAGTCTACACACTCATCGCTGTCTCTATGTGTACCCCTTTCTCTCTCTCTCTCGCTCTCATTTTCTGAGGTAAGATCATCTCACACAGCTTTTACATAACTGACTTGACGTTATAGCACAAATATGCTGCTTCTTCCTCTGTAAGCTGCTGTTGGGGGTGTTTTTGGAGTGTGGAAATTACTGTCTCTATAACTCTACTGATGTAACTCGTAGAGGGGATCTCAGCTTGTAAACTTAAGCCATGTACACGCCTCACAAGCTGAATATCCTTTACTGTACGAAAGTTGGCATTTACATAGCAAAAAAGACGACTATGCTCTCCAGTTCTACCCTAAGTGCCTTTTTCAAGGGCAGACTAACTGAGGGAACTGCAGAGCTCATCAAAACATAGTAATATGAGGACTTACATTCTTGCCGGATTTTTAGCCCTTAAAACCAACCGCTGCAGCTGAGTCATCTACAAACCCTGATATCATCACTCCATCATCTCCAATCCACTTTAAAGACTGCCAAGGCTTCACTTATTAAAACAGACCAGCAAAAAACTAACTCACATTATTTTGCTCTTACCCTAAGCGTAGTCGATCAGCTAAGATATGTTTGGTGTCCGAATTTTGCTTTTTTTAGTTTTGCACTGGAGCTACTAGGCTAATGTGGCTAACAAGTAAGGGAAGCTAACACAACCCACCAAGTAGTATCATGCAAACTGCATGCCTAAATTATCGCCTCTCAAACTGTGTTGAGCTAAAAAAATAGACTTGCTTAAATGAATCAACGTCATACTTTGTTTTTTGTCCACTATTTTTCTATTCAATAATTTAATAAACATATGACATGTATCACACTGTTCTACAATACCTCCTTTATATGAATATTTTATTGTACTAAAGTAAAATTCATTTTAGGCATTTATGCCTCAAAGTCTAAAAATGTAAGTTGGTGCAACCAACCAATTATATAGATTAAAAAACTATTAAAAAGGGCAATTTATTCTATAAAATACTAAATAAAATAGCTTGGCATGGTTTTATGTTTGAAACCTTCAGTAGCAAAATATGGCAGCTTTGAAAGTATTCTTTTGTCCGTAAACTTCTGTCCATAAAATGTCATGCGGCACAACCAACGACAACAAAGGACTTTTATTCTGTCATGCTTTTACATAAGTGTAGGCAGCGTATTGAATCATAAAGAAGACCTCAGGTGACCTTCAAGGTTAGAAGCCATTCCACAAAAAATTGAAAATAATGTTTTTTTTTGAGTCACTGGTTAGGGTGATTCAGCAGACCAAGTCAGGTGGTGTGACTGCAGGAAAACAATGAAAATGTTTATTCACTTGTAAAAACGTATGTATATACTTGAGATGAGGGTAGTGAAACAACTTCAGAATATAGTTTTTTTTAATGTGCGGTTGCGCCACATGACATTTACCTAGATGGTAAAACTGATGATCCTGACCCAAAATGAGTTCATACCATTCTTAAAGTTATCAACCAAAAGCTAATACATTGAACTGATTCATGCAGATACAGAAAATGCACATCATATTAGTATTGTAAAGGCCTTATTTGTCACTGACCAATCAATAAGAACGGACAAGAGTCCGTAGTTAAAACAGTAGTAGCGTACATCTTGAAGCCTGAATTTTTCCGGTACTTCTGTCCATTTTCAATACAGTTTGAAGCAAGTGTGTGGCAGTTTATGTACAAACTTTGCATGATGCTAATTGGTGGGAAATGAGCTTCCATTAATCATCAGCATGTGTGATCTACACTTTTAAATAGTGTTAAATAGTGTAATTTTTAAAGTTCGACTGACTAAAAACATAGACAGTCAGAAAGTTAAAAACACGTACCTGTGTCTGTCTGATTGAGGTTTGTGACGGTTCTCTGGACCACATCCACGATGCGGTCCACTTTAAACATTCGCATGTCTTCATCATCCAGCGCTATGTCCCCCCAATAGGCCACTGAAAAAGACAAAAGAAACACCTGACATGAGCCATCACATCTCCACTGCAAAGTAAGGGCTCTCTGAACAGTGTCAACACTCTGAGTTCATCATTCAGCGTCACCTATAATTACCGAGGGTCCGCGCTGAAGAGCGCCAGTCATTCAAAAAGTCAATTCTAAAAAAAGGCTTTGCCGACCGGGCCTCCCAAGCAGCGAGACATCTCATCACTCTTTAATCATTTGTGACACCGTATATATCTGGGTTCAACACTCGTACCAAAGCATATTCAATAATTCATCCACAGAGAGCGTGGAGCTGATTAGCGTTAGTGATTTTAGCGCGCCGCTACACTTTGGCTCTCCTTCTACTGTTTATAATCTCTGAAGCTGCTGCCGTGGTGGTCGTGATGGCCTGAATGGAAACGTATGCATATGCATAGACCTTAATTAGCTCGTCGGGGACTCATTTCATCTCTGGAAGTGTGGCTGGGCTGATTAACGGCAGAGAAAAGCAGGAAAACCTTCTCTAGCAGAATGTCCTTCAGACTGACGCATGTGTGAAGCTAATTAGAGAAGCCAAGAATGCGCTTTAAAGCCCCTTGTGCGCTGCAGGAGACTCGAGCCATCCAGCCTTTATGCAGTTTGTGAGGCTGTGATAGCACTGAATTAAAACCAATAAAATAATTGTTTCTTCTCGTTCACAGTTTAAATGGACAGTAAGTAATGAACTGAACATTCCAACGCTTCCAGCCAAGCACTGTGACTAGTTACATAATCAGCTCCTCATTTCAGCCGTTCTTCTCACTCTCTCTATCACAGTCCAGGCTCTAATTACAATTCCTAAGTCTTTTAGGGCAAACAGAAGTAAACAAAGCAGCAAACCATGAGTGTTAGGCAGTGATTTTACCACTGCTAGGGATCCTGCACAGAATATGGCCATATATGCACATATATCACGAAGGGTTAGGCATAACTGAATATATATTCATTCATGTTGCATATATGTAAGTATCACATACTGGACATTTATATATATATATATATATATATATATATATATATATATATATATATATATATATATATATATATATATATTACATACACACAAATCAGGCATATATATACATATACGTCCAGTATGTGATACTTACATATATGCAACATGAATGAATATATATTTAGTTATGCCCCACACACACACACACACACACACACACATACATATGTCTGATACATAGTTGAATACATCCCAGCACACCTAAAATGGTTACTTTGTTGCTGCTAAATATTAAATAATTTAATTTAATTTATTTCATGTTTTAATTACTTTATTGCACAACATACAATGTGCATGTTTTTAGAGTTTAGTTATGTATCTATTATAGTAATTTTCTCTTAAGAAAGCTTATTGTGGCATTCTGTGATGTAGTTTATTACAATATTGTTAAATATAGCCATATTGCCGAGCCATAGTTGCAGCCCTTACATCAGGGTGGGTCTCTGATTTCTCAAGATGACAGGTTAGGGTGGTGGGTACATCACCACCCACTGGTGCACGGTGATGTAAGCACAAATCAGAAAAGGTGGGAAAAAAAGTCATTATATGTGATCTACACTTTCAAATATTACATGATGAACTGTTTAATATGTCCAGGGATATGAAGTAACAAGGAAGGTAAAAAAGGTTATAATAATGATATTAAGATTTCAGGTTGACTTTAGGAACGGTTTTGAAGAACACTGCAAGGTCACTTGGCTCACAGACTCAAACAGTTGAAGGTCATTCTAAATCCTGAGAAATCTTTAATTCAGGTTTTAAACAGCGTTATCCAGGCATTATGGGTTTCTAAAAAGGTGTAGATGGTAATTTTGGTGTCAGACGATGGTGAACCACGTTGTGGTCTGCTATTTACTGCAGGTTGTGCAGTTTGACCTCAGTTCCATGGATATGCAGCTATGTGACCTGTAATAACGTGTTATGTGGGTGAATATAAACAGCTTATCACCTTCCTCTCCCTCTCTCTGACTCATAGGTGCGGTGATTAAGAGCTACCTAATGAAATACAGATTTCTTTCCCCATTCATAACAGCTTACAGAACAAGAAGCTCTCAGTAACACCCTCAGCACCTGCCGCCACCCCGTCCACGCTCACACAGCCGTACAGTGCCCTCTCAGTCTGTCTGGAGAGCAGACAGATGAACATGGCACTGTTTCAAACCAAGGAATACAAATATAAATCGTTTACTTTCCGTAAGCATATCCTCGCTGTCGGAGCAAAACCTCGTATCTCCAAAAAAATAACTTTACAGGAAACAGGAAATCTTTCTTAAATTTTAATGTAAGCTAATGTAACATTATTTTGTTGTAAGTCATTCTGGACCTTTCTACCAGTCCATTTGTTAGAAATTTGAATGCAATGTAAAAGGAATATGGGGAAAAAAATAAAAAATGATGAAAAAGGAGGTACAATGTTTGCTTCCGTTAGCAACAATATATATAGCCCAATGTTCAAATAAAGTCCCAGTACATAACGCTGCTGGAAAGATTCTTCTAGTAATTTTCAAACCGTTTATATTGGTCTGTTCCGGATATGGGCATTTCGGTCAAATTTGTAATACATTATTCAGCAAATATTTGAAAAATACCCCCTTATAGAACATAAAAATCTACACAGTACTCTCGAGTGTTGTGAGCTTTCCCATTCCCATATTTCAACAAGTGACCGGTTTCCTCCATCTCTATATAGGTCTCTGGTGTCAGTCAGATGACCAACAGCCGGAAAAAATGCACCACTCGGCATCTTGCTCTTACAATTACTGTACAATATTACACCCAGACCCGAATTTACACTTTAGAAAGGCAGTTAATCTAAAGTCTTTAATGTTAACGGACAAATACTAAGTATCCATTATTTACTTGGCGAATGCTATTAGCCTAGTCACATCATATCTTATTTTTCCTCATTTATTTTAGCTGCAAAAATAGCACATTTGTAAAGAGTTAGTTAGCGGATATGTTATAAATTGGTGTGGTAGCCTTTAGATAGCTACAGTAATCTTTCGGGGCTTTCTTTTCTGGACAAAACTGATCAGAAACTCTAACCAAAATGTAAGATGCAGGGTCTTCACTGCCCTCTGGTGGAGCATAGGAGTTCAGACATCTCATGCTTCTTAATAAAGAGAATGTCTAACATTAGAGTGAAGCTCAATCCTCACCATTTTTTAACTTTCATGGCTATTAGAAAATGATAAAACTCCCAGCTCTAGTCCATTCATAATGAAACATTCATACAATCTAAAGGACAGCTGCTGTTTCAAATGGTGTTTAAAAAAAGTCACATTTTATGAAGTCTCCTAAGTAATACAACATCTAATAAATTGTGAAAGAGGACAGGCACTTGGATGCTGAAAAGACTGCCGTGCTCGTCTGCTGAAAGAGACAGGTGGGCAGGGGAAAATTACTAAAGAAAACAGAAACCTCCAGGAAGACCTGGAACCCCAGCGCCCCAAAGTGTACATAATTTGTTTCACAAGGTGACATTTATAACAGGCCTGCCATCTGGAAACCACTTGCAACCAAATCAGTGTCAAAATAAAAACATTATGGCTCCCAAATGGCGCAACTGTCCATACGTTGGCCCCAACTTTGGAAAACTGTGAGTCCAAGAAAGCAAGAGAGTTGTCCAATAAAGCATAAATGTCCTTGCTGTCTCTCTGGGTGGGCAGGATGGCCCTCCCTGTCCCCCACCAATCACTCAGCACAATGCTAGCCAGTGCGTGTGTCTGTTAGCTGACTTTACAGAACTGGCAGTTAACATTCTCCTCCAAGCGTGTTGAGCTGACATGGGAGTGTGCTTCAATGATAGCCTTCACCCTCCCCGCTTGGTAGCATTGCATGATGGGGGTTAACCTAGCTATTGGATAGGAACTGGCTATGACCAAAAGAAGTGAGTACAAGTCAAAGAAATACGATTTTACATAGTGTTATGAACATAAAGCCTTTTTTTGGCAGTTGGAGGTGTAATAAGCTCTGATAACCAGCCTTTTACTCTTTTGTTCAACATCTGGATGGCTTTTTCTTTTCCAAAAAAGCAGCTGTGCTTCCTGTTCCCATCTCACTGGCATTTCTGAAAACCAAGAATTTCTTCTTAGAAACTGCACATTATACACATGAGAATTCCAAGAGGAAGGAGATTTGTTCTCAAGTGAAAAGCTAATCCAGTTGTCACTGATACGGGAGTACTTGCTAGTGTTTCCATTATTTTGTCTACCCCTGCGCACTAAAGAAAACATGGTTCTCCTTGGGGGGAGAACAGCAGGAGATCCTCATATTCCAGCACAAGAAAACCCCTAAAACAGCTTGAGTCATCCTGAATATTTCCAACAGCCTCTGGGAATTTGTCTTTTGTTTGGGTCTACATGTGGCCTTGGGAGCTTCTTCATACCTGGTGAAAATTATCCGCCAAATCCTTCCAGTAATGGCACCCAAACAACTCCGCTGCCAAGGATGATCCAAGGAGATAAAAGAAAAAAAAGCTACAGTGTTTAGTCAGCATACACCTGGGAAGTAGGACACATTCTTTCTCTTAACAAGACCAAGAAGGCGGAGATTACCCCAGACAGGCTTTAAGAGCAACGCGGGGGCTCCTAGAGTTCCTTACTAAAAGTTCTGTGCCAGCGGCTGTGTGAGAAGTTTTCAAGTAGCTGGTGTCTCATTACTGTTTTTAACACCAAGGCACTTCCACAGTTTACTGCCTTGATGCTGCTGGAGAAGGAATCTGAATGTGGGAGATGTGGGCCATCAAAAAAGAGCTACTGCCCACCTCACAACCCCTGCCTGAGGGTGCAGAAGAGCAGAGCAAGGACCTGTTATTTCCTGTACAAACAGAATTCTACCCTGTAATGCCAAGTCTACCGTCAAACACACACAAGCTCGCTCTCTCTCTCTCCTTCCTCCCTCTCTCTCTCTCTCTTTTTCTTTTTCTGTCTGTGTTCTAGTCCAAGTTCAAACCAA